AAGGCGCAATGTATGTAAGCGAAAGTCAGGCGAAGTTACGAAAAAAATTGGATTTTTTCGTAAATTAGCCTTTGAAACAAACTACTTTATACGTGTTCTTTTATAATTTACTCCTTGTCACCGTAGACAGATCTCTGTCTTCTTTTCCCCCATAAATATAAATAAATAAATATACATATTTTATTTTGTTTACGTGTAGGAATAAAAGTCGAAAATGTTGTGATTTGTGTTCAGAAATTATATGTGATTCGAGCTTTATCAATTAGAAGATTTTCATCTGTGCCGATACTAAATTTTTGGAATAATTCAATTTACACTCATGATTCTAATAAATTTGATGTCGGCAGGACACAATACAAAAAATGTATAATTATTTGATACTGAAACCATTTAATAGTGATGAATCAAATGATTTATAATATTAATAATTCTGTGTTAAATAGGCGTCAAATGAACAATTTAATTAAAAAAAAAATCAATTAGATTATTTAACTTGCGACACTAGCTAAATTGGAGCTTTAAGGCGACGAGAAACAAAAACTAGGATCTTGAAGTTTAGGCCTCTGAAAATATGTGTAAATTAATTAAGTATGAGTAACGAATTGTTCAACATGTGATATATGTCAGTGGAATGTGCAAGTGAAATCGAACGTTGACACAGATTGAATGATTTAGTAATAAAACTTGTCAAAATTTACTGTTCTTATTCAAATTTTTTGAATGTTTCAAACATATTGTGAGTTATAAATTCATATTGTATATAGTTATATATTTTCCTCGAAGATTATTTTTATGACATTTATACATTTTTTTAAATAAAATAAAAAGTATATGGATTAGTGAATTTCATAATGTAAGTGAATTCGAGCTTTAAAAAAGTTATTCACAATTAGGTATAAATAACTTATTGTATGATTTTTTGTTTTGGTACAACTAGACGCATTTATAAGATTTTTCAAATTGAAAAGTGATTTTCTGTTGAAGGTTGATTGTTGTCAAAAAGGTTGTGAAGTTATAATCTGTTAAAATATGTTATATGATTGAAAATGAGAGCTGCTAATTAAACAATTCATCTTAATTTCAATGAAATGTTAAAAAATCTGAAAGTTTTCTAGAGCGTTGAAATTAGATGTTCATAAAAATGTAGCTTCAATGAACTTAATTGCGGAAGATGTTTTTTTTATTTTTTAACGTAGTTTTGAAAAATTCAAAAAATTACTTCAATAGCGTTAAGTTATAAAATAAAGGGCATACAACTGGCATTATTTTATGATTAAATGAATTGTAATTAAAAAAGTTTATATAATTGGTGCTTCGAAGTTTATCAAATTTTCTTTTGGAATAAAAATCAAATGAATATTTGAAAAACTTGACAACACTAAAAATCATGAAACTGAAAAAGTTAAGCGAAAATAGCTAAGAAGGCGCGCGTAACTTAACATGTAAAAGGAAATATGAGACTGATGATTGACAGTATTTGCAACAAAATTATAAAATCAAATGCGATAAGGAAATGAGTTTAAAACTTGTTTGAAAAAATTCTTAGAAAATATTAGTTTCAATTGTTAACGTTAATTAAGTAATTATGTACTAAATTTATTGCACAAAAAATGTGCAGTACAAGAAAAATTATACTATACTTAAATTGGTATGTACAGTGCTTAAAATAATTAATAAAATTACAAATAAAAAATTTAGTGAGAATAATTTTAGTACCTTAGAATAATTGAGCAAAGTTGCAAAGAAAATATGCCAGTTGTAGAAAGCATGGAACAAAATTGAACGTACAGAAAATCTTATCCACAGTGTTTTTTTTATATTAAAGTATAAATAGATAAATGGAAGAAATTGAGCTTGGCCCAGTGATGAAAAATGATTTAGAGAAAATTATAAGTGTAAAAAAGTTCAAATTTCTTTACTGTGAACCCCTTGCGCATATTATAAACCATAAATTCGTCCATTTTTTAATTTTATAATCTTCTTTGGTAAATTCAATTTTTTTAGCTTAATGCTTACTTGTCATTGTCATTATTGAACAAATGAAAAAATGTTATATATTGCATAAAAGTAACCACATAATTATAGTTTATAACAATAATTACTCCACATTCTGTACAACACAGATGCAGACCAACACTTATATGAATACACAGAAGCGCGCGCGATTTAACTTTCAATTTTCTTTCCATGTTCTAACGCAGTCATAAAATTATATTTAGTTTCACTCGCAATTTGAAAACTCAACTGTTCACTATGCGTGATTTGCAAATTAATTCAACTATTAATGCTGCACGATAACGCTTATATGAAGAACGAACGTGGATGGATAGAAGTTTTATCAAACGATGGACTTTCGATATAATTGAGAGATTCATAAAGAAATCTTTAAAAAATTGTGCATATACAAAATTTTTTTCGAAGCGAGTATATAAAAACACATTGAATGAATGTTTAATGTTTGCAGTTAGGTGGGACCAAAAATGACTTTATATCTCTATGTGCATATCTAAGCCACACGTGTATAATTTAATTATTAAATTAATCAATTGAAAACATCAATTGATAATATAGTTGCGAACCACGATCACAATTTGACTACGTTGATCAAGAAGGCGATAATGACGAATAATTCAATTCAAGAATATCATTAAATTTATTCTTATAATTAATATTAATACTATCATTAGTAAGATTATTATTAATTTTATTATTATTATAATTATTATTAGTTTATTATGTTTGTTTATTGATACATTATATATTCAACGACACTTTGACATCATCATTACTACTTTATTGCTACATATTTATTATTTTATGTCGATTATCATTAATTGTAAGGACAATACAATTATCATACATAATATAATTATTTGATTGTCGTTTTAAGACATGATTTATTAGATATCAAATAGATCAGTACATACCGATAATTATTAATTAATTTTAATAAATAACTATTAATAAAATCATTTTGTTGTATTATTTTCAATAAAATCGAATTAAAAATAATTTTTTTTGTACTTTTCATTTTTCATTTATTTAATACATTTATTTTTACCTTTATTTAAACTTCAGTTCAGCTCAAAAAATCTTAAATTGTCGTCACTTCTTTCGCAAAAAAATATGTTTATTCTCGCATTTGTACGTATACGACTTATGCATGACAAAGCCGTGCTAAACAAAAAACATGTGAAAATATAAAAACTAAAAAACTAATCTTTTTTCCATACACTATAAAATTATATATTTCTTCAAAAATCTGTCAAAACCTTTAGCGCATTTCTATATTAACCGATGTATCTGAAATCATGTTACATAATGTACACTTTTTGAGAAACCAGTGATAAAGGAAGTAGTTATATTAGATACTCATAAATAATTATGTATACATATATTATGGTTGATTGTACTTTGTATACATACATATTTGCATAAAAAATGTTTGTTTGTATGTGTATAAATGTATACGCAATTATATAAATAAGTAATGAAGTATTCTGCGAAAAAGTACGTCGAGTAACGAAAGCTCAAAGAAAATAACAAAAATTTCGAGAAACAAATACATAACCAAAAATGCCGATGATGTATCTCGAGCGGTCTGTCGAGATTTTCATGAGACAAAAAATATATATTATATATAAACACATATGTAGACATAAAATATGATATGAAAAACTATTATATTATTGTACGACGATATAAAAAGAGTGGAGAAGAGACAATTGTACATTGTATTGATAATACACGCACACATATTCAAAAAAAGAGTAAGATAAAAGGAAAAAGGATACACATTATATTAGGTAAGTTCGTACTGCGTATTGCCTTTTTGACTTTGATGTGAAAAATATTTCAAAAGCGTACCACATAAATAAAGAAACTTGCGATGACGATTCATCGCGCCGATTTTCCGATCCTCTTACTTCTGCGTGGAAAATGCGAGTTCAGTAGGAAGCACTACATGATTCGTTACGAAGCGGATATTTTGAAAAACAAATTTATCGTGAAGCTTAACTGTAAAATCATAAAAGGTCAAATCTTTGAAGCAACATACACTTTTAAATTGAATTTTTACAAGTAGCTTTTGTAAAAAAAACTCGGTATTATCTTCGAATTCTGAATGTTGCATCGTTATCTTTAAAGTCTACGTAGTTTTATCATAAAGAAAGCGTTTTGCATAAAAAACGTGCCTTCCATGTACCAGAAAACGGAGGCTTGAGCAAACTTTCTGAATGACCTCTGAGTAAAAAGTATCGTCAAGATTGGCGCTAGATGGATATCGTCAGTGGCACTCGCAAGTTCCAATCGTGTTGGAGGGCGTTAATCCGTTTCGTGTTTTTCAAATACTTGTAATTTAACGATCAAATTATAGAGGTAAGGATAACGTAAACAGTCTAAAGTGTGCGCTACATAAACAATATAATAGTAAAGTATATAAGAAATATACACAATTATATTCACGAATATATATACATACATAATATATATTATACAAAGGTTATAATATATAAATATGTGTATATTATCAACATTGGGATTGGTGAAAACATACAGTTTTTTCGCTTTGGAGTGTTATTTTCTGAAAATATTGAACAAAATGTGGAAAAAAATCATTAAAATAAATGAAAAAATATGAAAATTTTAGACTGCTAAAAATTTATTTAAAATTCACCTTATTATTTCCAGTCTTCTATTTTTATTTGAATTAGTCATTGCTTTTATCTTCTTATATAGATAATACGCATGGAAATGAGCTTGTCAGATCAGAAGCATCGGAAAACTTATCTTATTCAGAAATCTTTAAACGATGATAATTATTCTGAAACTTCCAGCAAGGTAACTTCATCAAGATTTTGATTTTAAACTATAATATTTTGACCACTGATCTGTGATTTTATCAGTATACACACAATAGTAACAATGAAACTTGGAAAAAGATATTAGGTTTAATGAATTTACTGAGTTCTGAGAAAAAGTGTCGAGGTTATAAGGCCGATTTTGATATTGCAGTTTATAAGTTGAGTATTAAAAATATCCATCCATAGTTAAAATTCAAAATGATTCATTCTTTATCCTTAAGGTTGATAGGGGACGTACTGAATATTCATGACTACAAGGTTAATTTATTTTCAAAGTGGATGCTTAAAACCATAATTCAAAAAAGCATCCAATTCTCAAATGACTTAATAGAAGAAGGTTATTTAATTTTCATATTTTGGATCTACGAAGAATTTTCATATCTACAAAATAATCTTGGTGAGAAAGCATGAAAAGGCATTTTCATACTACCCCACCCGAAACTAACCTGTTTTGGCCCAACGAACGCGGCCAAAACGAAAAAGTTAATTTCTTATTGAGGGATTCTTGAAAATAGTATCGAGGACTGAACGATACCGCAGCGCTTCTATGCATTCAATGCTAATTTACCTTTAATTCAATGCTTATTTTACCCTATTCCTTTAATTATTATGGGACGCTCACATTGAATACTGCGAGGCGCTGCATTATCGTTCAATCCTCAGATCTCGATACGCAGTTATGAGACTTTTTAGCTTTTCGCTACCTGGGGACGTAATCTACTATTTCATGTTTGATTTACTTAGATGTGACTAGAAGACAATTTTTTGAATTGATGAACAAAATTTTTATGCAAGCCGCAATTGACATCAGTAATGGAAAGCTTTTAAACAAGGTTTGATAGTGATGAGACATTTTCTCTAAACTCGAATAAAAATTTTTTAAAGATGCAAATACATTTTAGAATTTACAGTTGGAAGAATTTTTCGAAAATGGGGAAACAGAAAAATTTGTAGAAGAATCGACGGACATAAAATTTCAAGACGTTTCGCACGAAATTGTTTTGCATGCAATAGTCGATGCAACTTATGAGATGTTTGTCCTTTTTTACCGCCATTTAAGAGATCAACGAAGTTTTAATTTTTCATTTTTTTGTTTTTAATTCGTCAGCAGATTCGGAAATGACACTGATTATTCTTTGATTCAAATGGCGTTATTGAAACAACACCAAAGCTATAATTACATAATACCATATTACAGTTTCCGAAAGCCTAAAAGATTAGGATCGCAGAAAAAAACTGATAATAAGCTTAAAAGTAAGCCGCTCATGTAATTTGATGAACAAACTGTAAACTGAATTTTTTTTAGACACAGAAAAAAGGATCAGTTCGATGAATAAGGGAAATAGTTTTATGGAACAAGAAGAGTTTATTCAACCACTATCAAAAGCTATGGACGGTTCACAAGAAATATAAATGCAATTTTTATTTTTATTAACAAATTCTAAAATTATTCCATGCGGTACGATAATATTTAATTTGTAAAAATACAGCTACTCCACTCATAACATTTGAAATCTTGAATTGGCTCAATTATATTGTCATACGTTAACATTTCAAATTTAGATGCAGTTGATAAACTATGTGAAGAGACGCCAAGTTGATTGTATTTATTGTTGCCGCATCCCCAAAATTCCCCCGTATCTTTAATTATATTAAAAAATCACTTTATGAATATAATTTTTAAAAAAAAATATTCTTCCTTATTTTTCAACTAACACCCTTACCTGTTCTACAAATTGTAAATTGATTTCCACATTGAACTTTAATGACGTTTATTTCAAGTTCCTCCATTGTGCTACTGATGAAATTAACTAATGTTGGTAAAGCAAGTACGTTTTCGATGCTGTTGAGACCTAATTGATTATGATTATTCCACCCCCAAGTATACAAATCGCCCTTCAAATAAATGATAAGTAGTTTTCATGAAATTTATGGGTATTATTAAAAAATTTATATCCTTTTTATTCTCCAACCTGGTCAGTGATGACTGCGTTGTGCCATCCTTTCGCTGAAATTTGTGTTACTTTCAGACCAGCTAATGCTTCAATTAATTTGGGCTCGTCACAGTCCTCCAAATCACCATGTCCTAGTTGACCGCGACTATGAAAGTTTAGTGCTTGCGTAATAAAATTTCTGTGATAAAGTAATAGTAATAATTGCAGTCTTACGTGCCCATTCCCATTGAATAAACATATCCATTTTCCGCTAGTAACAGGGTGTGATCAAAACCACATGCAATATCAACAAATTTTACTGAACTGGAATTATTTATTAACAAAGGGATATTATAGATTTGACCCAAATCGGTCATAGCGATAGTGCAGCGACTATGATTTATTTTATTTATTTTTTCTACATCATTATTGTGTAAATTTGTTATGAAATTGGGAACTCTTCGCCAATTATCGGTGTAAATGTTATAAATCCATATTTTACTATCATTAGTCAAAATAAAAATGTTTTCAGAGCCAGCGATAACTTGTTCAAGTCTGAAAATTTTAATTATATTTCATATTACAATTAAAAACAATCATAAAAATGTTTATAACGTAGCTCAGATTTACCTGGAAATAACCGAAGCAGGTAATTGTAATTTATTACCACATTTTTCGTTGGTAATTTTTTTACCACGCAATATCAATTCGCTTTGATTCCATAATATAAAATAATCCCAGCCAATTTCGATTTTCTTGGAATCATCTATGTTGAACGGAAACAAATGAATAGCTTCCAATGAAACATCGTAAACTGTGCTTTCAACTGGTTTTATGAATTCACTTGTAATCAAACCAGAGACGTATAATTTTGGCATATTTTCAAATATTTAATAAATACATCACAAGAAAATATAATTCTTTTTCAAATGAATGAAATTTCTTTTATCGATGAACAATTCAAAAAATTTAGTTTCAGAATTAACACACAGGTGGCAACATCATTACATTTGCTGCAGGTTGTCCCAGGCTACTTATACATTGACAAAACCATGGTAACAAATTCTGGTGGAACCGGTAAACAAACAGTCACGAATGATTTTAATAAAAATGTAAAGTTAGATTTTGCGCGCTGATCAATTAACAGTATCATTTAATTAAAAATAGCTACCAACAATTTTCGTTTTATTAGTTTTTTCTTGTGCACATTTAAAAAATTAATATTCAACGACTTTCAATTATTCTTTCATGAGTTTAATTTAAAAAAAATGTATAGCTGAAAAATAATTTTAAATAATTATTCGATTTCCATTAAGAACACCAACTTTCACCATGGTTCGTAAATTATATGTATACTTTTTGTTCAAGCACTTATTCACTGTTTTGGATGAGCACAGCACTTGACGTAAGTCGTAACCTCTGAAAAGTTTTGAGCAGACGCTTCACAAAAGTCTGGCACTAAGTTTGAAAAAACTGCTCACGTAATTTCATAACGCGATTTCATTGTACACTTGATAATAATTTTCACCGGTTAAAAAGAGTCTTTATTCTGTAGGGGCTGTTATCAATTTTAAAAAAATTGCGGGCTAATCCAGAGAAAGAACTAAGAATATTATTATTAGGTTTGGATAATGCAGGCAAAACAACTATTTTACGTTTTTTGGCAAACGAAGATATTACTCAAGTACCTAATGTCGTTTCAAAAATAAAATAATTAAAGTATCAATATAAACATTATTTTTGTTGAAAAAGGTTACTCCAACTCAAGGATTTAATATTAAAAGTATCCACACAGATGGATTTAAGTTGAACGTATGGGATATAGGAGGTGCGAGAAAAATTCGCCCTTATTGGAGAAACTACTTTGAAAATACTGATGTTTTGGTATACATTTCATTAATGTTTTTTGTGAGGAAAATTCCATTGGGGAAAATTTTGTTTTAACAAAAAAATTGTCTAATTTTTCGTTTTAGATATACGTAATTGACAGTGCTGATTTAAATAGACTCGAAGAAACTGGCGAAGAATTGTCCGAACTATTGACTGAAGACAAACTTCGTGGAGTTCCAGTGCTAGTTTATGCAAATAAACAAGATGTCGCTCAATCGGTAACTGCTGCTCAAATTGCCGAATCTCTCGGCCTACCCAATATAAAAGATCGAGATTGGCAAATTCAATCATGCGTCGCAACTGATGGAAAGGGTATCAAGGTAAGTCACATAAATGTCGATGCATCTCTGCATAGAGTTTGAATCATTAACGACATTGATGTTGATGTATTCTTTTACAGGAGGGCTTAGAGTGGGCGTGCAAAAACGTTAAAAAGAAATAAAGTATAGTTTTGTTCAATAATTTTCCTTGCATTTCTCACTTGCAATCAACAAAAAAAGGACAATTCATGTATAGTTTCATTTTATAGTAATATCACTTAAATTTTATTCGATATTTATCTAATATTTACAAGAATTATTTATTTATGTACGAATCTGCTATCTATGTAATTATGCATACGTATAAACATTAAACAAGTCTATATCGAGCCTACTTGGTAAACTCGATTCACTCATCTTATGATTCAGAAGTACTCGTTTTACAGTCGTTATTTGCACTTAATTTAAAAAATAAATCAATAATTAATAACAGTCGTATCTTTTATAATAGCTATCGCACCTCGACATTATCATTATTTTTCCTACCAGTTAAAAATCTAATTTGAAAAGTACCTTTAATCTTTTACGCTGGAATCTTTTTAAACTTGCTAGTTTAAGTGAAAAGAAAATAATAATTGGTAAATTTTCGATCAGATTTAAATGAATTAATGAAAAAAATCGCCTCTGATCAGATCATCTGATCATTTTTGTTTGTGTTACATGATATTTAATACCGTCTCTTGATCGTTATTTGACACATTCAAACTCGGCATAACTCAAAGTTCATCGCTGTGTGGAAACTCTGTTGTTACTCGAATTTCTTCCTCGTGAAACAACGTGCAATCCGCTGGGTACTTGACCTGCAAGCAATTCGGTTTTTCAGTAAAAAGTCAATAAATCGCTGAAAAAATGTCAAGAGTCGAAATAGTTTGACTTACGAGGCAATTTTCGGTTTCTAGTATAGACGAATACAGGGACCAAAAATTGGCGTTGCTTTTGTTACTGATGGCCCAAGCAGCTGGGAAACTGGCTACTTTGGTTAATCCTACTCGAATGGATTCGTCGAGAGCTGGTTTAGACCCGTCGACTGGCGCTGGCCTGTGATTGATCGAGCACAAAATTTGCGCGGCACAATGCGGCATTTTCGATCCCCATTTGTAAGCGCGATAAGCCTAAAAACAAAGGACGCCAATCGTTAGGGTGATTTAAAATGTCGTGCACGCGATAATCGAGGTTCAATATCAGTACTTACTTTAAGGAGTGGAGCGATAAAACCATTGTTGATGGAGTCACTCAATTTATTGCTGAGCTCGCGAGCGTTGATTCGCGACATGATGAAGCCCTTTTCCGAAGCCAAGCTCATGAGCTCCTGTACGTAGGCGATGGCTGGTTTTACGTACTGATAGCTGTCGACGTTCATGTTCAAGTGACGCTTGGCCACGGCATTGATGAGCCTCGACAGACTCTCGGTAGGTCTGGTGGGCTCGAACATCACCGCTTTGGGATATCCTTGCGACTTGAGGAAACTGTTGCCGATAAACTGAGCCGTGGCGAGGTAGCGTTGCTGAACGGCTGGATCGGATACATGCGATATCCATTCGGCTACGAAACTCGTCAGTGAATTGATCCATCGCCGGCGAAGGGTGGGATTCTCGAAGCTCTCCATGATTTTCTCCCACTCGATGTTTCCATGTTCGTCGGTCATCGTTCCGACGATTTGGGCAAGGCCACTGTTTTTCCATAATGTCTGACCAAGTTCCGAGTTTCTAACAACAATAAATTGCTTTGTTATTTGTTCGTAGAATAAAAGCGTCATTTTTTTACATGAAAATCGTGTACAGAATTTCAGTTCAATAAATTTTTAATCGAAAATAAAAAACATGTTGATTGCATTTCAATACCTGAAATGGTCCCACATAAGATGGATGTTTTCAAGAATTGGCGGCATGTACCAAGAATGATCGGAATGGTCGGTGTGGCCGTTCTTATCGGTATTACCGCTGAAGGTATTCAAAACGAGTGGCAAAAGACCCATTACACCCTCGGCGTTGCCAGTTTGACCCATAAAGGCCGAAGCAATATTGATCATGCTGTTGAAATCGAAGCCTCCTTCCGAAGATTCAGCCGCATTCTCGTGATGCATCGATCTCTTTTGATGGGAATGCGAGGGGGAGGCCGCGGACGAAAGCGACGAAAGGCCACCGATGAGATTGCCGATCATCGACAGATCTATACCAGCGCCGGGTCCGCTATTCTGTCCAACTCCACTTTGGCCACCCTGGGTCGCGGCCATGAGACTTCCAATGCCCGAGATGATTTGTCCAAGACCGTCGGCGGATCCCTGCTTTCCTCCGTCGGATTGCATGAAAGCCTTGGCCACACCCTGCAGTCCGCCGATCGCTTCTTGGTTTTCGAGCAAAGCCGAGGCAGCCTCCATGAAGGCGTTCGTTGTGTCGTCTTCATGCTGGCCTATTACGCAGCTCGCGATCGCCAGAAAAACCAGCAGCTTACTTTTCCAAAATTTTATATTCATTTCTGTTGACAATAATATTCAAATTATTAGCAATTTTATCAGTAAAAACCAATATATAATTACATATTTGCAAAATTATTTAGCACGCTTAACATTTTTATAGACAGCAATATGATTTATAGACAGCGCATATACTGCTCTAAGTGAAGGGTAATTTCGATACATTCCTTGAAATACTACGAATGTATATTCATTATAATAATAATGATTCTTAGTAGTACGCGTTTGGATTGTATTATTCTCTACTCTATCTTCATTCACCAGCGGGTTGGGAAGCGATTTAGTGACGCGTTATTGCAAGTAATCTTCGTTATTTTAAATATTAAAAAATGGTAAAAGTGGAAAACACAGAAGGGGATGCGTGAAGTGTGCTAAGAATGTGGCTATAGTTATAATTTTGTTAATGTATTAAATATTTAAATTCATTCAAAGTTGAATATAATCTTAAACCATGTAAAGAATAATTAAACAATTTATTTAAAAAAATATTTTAAATTATTTTCAAAAGATTTTTATAATTTCTTTTTAAGAAAAATAAGCGTATCCGATGTATAAAAATGATCAGGAAATTAACGAAGTAAGTAGGACCAACCGATACTTGTTTACCCTTCCCAATTTACACTTACAAATTCAAATGGACAAACGGTAAATATCCGATTTCGAATTTCGTAACGAGTCAATAACCTCTGGCGCATGACCAGCAATTCCTACCGACGGCACAGAAAGCCGAAAAAAAGACCAAAGATAAAATCTTTGCACGCCGTACGAGCTTTATTCTCGTAAAATTCAAGCCCGTACCTACAAAGACACTCTATAAGTACTTGTACGCGAAAAAAAACCGGTCGATGCGATACATCATCGTTACCGAAGCGCTGCAATACTTAGGCCCCGCTGAGTTCGCACCAGCGCCCAAGTGCCGTTATGCGCTTACAACTCGCCACACACATACACACACGCACGCACACATACATATACATACACTTATACGCAGGAGCTCGCGAGCCTCCTCTTACGTTTGACGTTGGAAAAAAAAACAAGAGCGAGTGTCGTATTGTGGGTACAACGTCACGAGCCGAGGTCCGCTTGGAGGATCGTCGTTACAATAATAAGGAGTAGCAGCGAGCAAACTCGCGTAATGACGATGATTTCAGGATGTGCAAAAAAAGATCGAGCGCGCGAGGGAGAGAAAAAAAGAAAAACAAATATATTTTTTGGTACATGCAAGGCTGGCATTGTTATGATATGAATCAGAAGTACGAAATATTTTTTCTCCCCATCGCGCTATGAGTAAGAAATCATTAACGTCTTGGAAGGATGATTTTCGTTCTGCGAAAACCCGTAACAATTCTGCAAATGGACAGAATTACGGAGCCTCGAAATCGAAATGAATTTAGAGCTGCTCCAAACGTTAATTCAGAAAAGCAATGATCCGAACACGCCCAAAGTCATTATGCGATAGCGCATCATTGTCGTGCTCGCGTCATTATTACGTCTCGACGATGTGTAACCGCGCGGTATGCATGATGATGATGCGACCGAGAGATAACTTTATGGTATACCGTAAGCGGCATAAAATTGGTCTTCGCAGCAGCAGATGCAGTCGCAGTTGGAAAATATGCGCGCGAGCCCGTACAAGAGGACGATAGGAGGATTTTTCATGGGCGAGTTGATTCTTATTTTCTCTCTAACGGTACTAAATAATATCGAGTAACCCCACTGGAATTCTGGCGCCTATCGAGATAACGCAAATTCACGTGGCAAAAGTTTCGTTTATTGACCCAATAATTGTCATCTTATTTACTCGGGGACCGATAATATTACATTTTTTTATCCGTTTCCTTTTCTTTAACGATTATAGTCAAAGTTTTGAGGATCGTAAAAAACGTGAACGTTAACCTACTTCCTGCAAAAACTACTCGAGGCAAAATTAGTCGGTCGCGATAAAAATTAGTCGACGTTATATGCTTATCGGACTAATAAGTATGTAAATATATCCTTCTACGATTCTAATACTTGAAATACAACAATGCTAAAAGTGGAGGAAAAATGTCTTTTGACTAGAAAAAATTCGATTTCTTATCGCATAGGTTTTTTTTGTATTTTTTACCCACCGTTAGAGGAAGTGCTTTTCATATCGGATACCTATCGTGTCGATAAGCTTAAACCTTGGCTTTAATACCAATATACTTGTTATTTTCATACGTAAAATAATTATTTTCATAAACAAATTATATTGATCTAGTTTATTTTTTTGAATTTGTGAACAAAGACTTTGGTAAAAGAGCTGAAAAATGTTTACTTATTATTATAATTATACAAAAAATTAAACTGTCATGAGCATGAAATAAAATAAGAACGGAAGTATAATTATTACATACTTTTATTGTGCATTTTTAAATAACATGACTCACTTGTATTTATATATAGGTTCCAATATTCATGACGATTTATTCAACAAATGTAAATAATGATTGAATAATGATGTTCTGAGAAATTTTTCGAACTAAAAAATAGAATTTACTAAGTAAAAAAGAACGAGTGAATCGAATATCACAATTATCATGTAATTTTAGCAGAAAAATTTTCGTTTTATATATATTTTTTTTCCTGTCCACTAAAACATGAAGTTGAAATATCAAGTAAATTCAAAACTCAGTCATCTAATATTTTTGATACCCAATATTGAGCTTTCCTTTCTTTGATTTCACTTTTTCCAAGTAAATCAGCGGCTTTATAGAAAAGAAATGTCATTTTCGAATCACTTTCGAAAAATCAAAATGTATAGAAACTTTTAAAATACTACGTTTTGATAAAAAGTGTACTGTATGTAAAATAAACAGCAGGTTTGAGCACCTAAATAGAGCATATAGGCCATTTGCGATTTAAATTCTACAGTAATAGCAAATTTTTTGAAAAATGATCTCTGATTGAATTCAAAGTCCCCGTGAACGTATCAGAGTATTTTCATGTCGAAGGTAAAATAAAAATATGTTTAATCCAACTGCGTAGTAACTTTAAAATCTTTCGTCTATTGGTGTTTTCTCATTCTTGCACTCTTGATTAAAAAAACGCGCATCGAACTATATACTTTATGGTAGAATTTGAAAGTAAAAACAGGTAAGAGAAAATTTTGGAGGTACGGAGTGTCATTGAAGAAGATCCTAAATATGAGGTACCGTAACTTGCGGTATTTGTGAATTGTTGACCATCAGGTACCATATAATATGTCGTACACCGTTCGGCACCTTACATCCCTTCAGTTCTCTTTTCATTTATTTGGTCTTGTGCCTGTTTTGCTGTAGCTTTTTTTTCGCTCTCTCCTTTCTTTCTTTCTTTCTCTCTCTCTTTCTTCTTCACTTTTTCTTGTTTTCGTATTGTATACAACGCCTTATTTGAATTCTTTCTCCGCATGAATAAGTGGCAAACGAATGAACGAAATTCCGAAGAATCGTGCCCTTCGCCAAAACGGACCAAGAAAGTCAACGCGTAAATGTCGAACAAACCATCATTAGTATTTTTTCCTCCCCAATTTCTATGATTTATACTTGAAGATAAAAAAATCTCGACTTTACGATACAGTCTTAAAAGTTGGAAGATGCAGCAAGTATTAAGATTCTCTTCGGAGGGGAACAAAAAAAGGGTGCAAGATAAAAAAGAAAGTCGTTCATAATGAAAGTATGCAGCAGGTATGTGCGCATGCCCGTGATCGTTAAAGAAATTGCACGGGAGATGAGCCAGACGCGCGCCGTGCATACACGTAACTTCAATGACCTTCGTTTGCTGCGCGCAATTCGTTTGACGGGCGGTACATAACTTTTTAGCTCCTCGCTGCATTTAACACGGATATGCATTTGCGCGATGTATACGTAGATGTCAAGGCGCGAAACAAGACAGTTATACGTACTTTATAATAATAATCCTTAACATTGAAATTATATCACGGCAACGGTTATGCAGACCTGCTGGTGTATAGATCACGACGTGGACACTTGAACGCGTTGCATACCAATCCTCGCGCGGGAGGTGTGCATTACTTTATGCAGCAAGTTTATGCATATTAGGATGACTTTTATTTCCCAAGCTGCTTAGAATCTCGCTTTATTGTTTTTTATCAACAGAGTAACATGAAAAAATCATGACTCCACCTTATTGTTAGTCTTAAGGAAACATTATTATAGCTAGTGCCACGGGTCGATAAAATCAATTTTCATATTTCCAAAAAGTCTTCAAGAACAACGGAAAAATTTACAATAATATTTCAACTAATTCTAAGACTTTTTTCCTTTGCAATTTTTCTTTACATTCGTTTATTTTCTAAATAAAAATAGCAAAGAGCGAAAAATTGTTTGAATTATCCGGAGAATACGTGCGATTTTTTTAAAGATTTTATCACTACGGGGTTGAATTTTGCATCGATGCTTTTTGTGTACGATAATCTCTCTCCGGCCGGTAAGGACAAAAAAGAAATACTGTAATAAGTGCAACTGCGCGCTACAGATCTAAATCTTATGCTCCATACTGGAATCTGTAAGTGTATAGAGAATCGTCTTCCAAGCAGTTATTAGTGACGCGAACTCTTCGGTAAATATGGGCAGCCTTGAGACTCGTTGCTCAGACTGCTCGCGCAGCAGAGCGTTGGTCGCATATGCACACGTCCACCGGTGCGACGCGATTCATGACAGCAATGTACCAGAGTCCGAATAAACCGAGCCCACCTAATTGATGTCTACGCGCTATGACTATTACGAACAGTTACGAATTTTCATGTCATCGAACCGCGATTACTGGCGGAACCGAGTACCGATACCGATCCCTCGAGTTCTCATAGCGACCGATTTCCCAACGACTCGTCCATTTTACCTGACAGCATTACGCGAATATCTTGGGCATTATCACCGATCGTTATTGAGTATGACAGAAGATTATATGCATCGGAAGAATAGGGTTCAGTGACCTACCTGCACTCCGTCTCTCTCTCTCTGTCTCACACCGATTTATATCCGCTGAGGTGCTGACTCGAGGCTGGCCAGTATAACGTGGCTAAGCTGCTGGACGAGGTGCTAAAAATTAGGATTGAAGAACTAGACTGGAAGCCAAGAGAGCCGTAGTCGCGAACGAGCGCTAGCTGCTCAACTAAATTGTTGAAATTCGTACCACACGCCGCGGCGGCTCCTGGTTTACGAGAATAAACTCCGTGCTGCGACTTTGGGTAGTTATTGCGCAAAGACTGGTGCACTACTGTGTGACTTGGGCTTAGGCTCCACGAGCACGCCCGATTATGCCAGTGTACGTGTGTATTCTATAAGTGTATATATTATTGTAGCTCGGCGAAGGAAAGAAAGTAGAGGAGGTATACGCAGCGAGCGAGCGCCGAGCATTACGGCTCGCCGAGGACCAACGGTAAAACCCCACGGCACCCAGAGTCACTCACCTGCGCGAACGAAGGAGATGGCATACCAAGCAGCGTACGCAGCAGCAGGGATAGCGCCGATACACACCGATACAGTGCGCGCACACCTACCAAGCAGCGTGTAGTACACAGAGCCATACACGCTCAGCGGCTACAAGCGGCTGCTGCTGCTGCTGCCGCCGCAGAATGAGACATGGGAGGGAAGAGAAATGCTTCTCTCTTTAGCCCCCCCCCCATCCTTGCAAAGAATGACGGTGTATACTCTTTGCAGGTGAAAAGAAAAAAGAACATTTTCCCACTGTAGATACAGATATGCTAATGGTAATAATTATGCTGCTCGTGATTTCTAATACCAAACAGATTCGTCCCCAAATTTTTATCTCCGTTTCGAATTTTACCAAGATTCGCCTAATGTTCGGATCGTAAATCTAACTTTTTATTCATACTTTTCTTCTTATTTTCTAATTTCTTTCATTTCAGAATATGAATTCGAGATATGTTTTATACATGAAAATGAATTCGATTTTTGTTGATTTTTTAGATTCCAGAGATTGTATTTTAAATTGAAACTTCACCACTTAAATTACAACAATAGGATTAAGACAGGTATAATCGAAATTACTTTGGTGCAACAATGAAAAAATGTACTTTCAAACTGTATTCCGCTGAATCAACAAATGTAAAACTGTCAAAAGCGAATTTTAAAAGTACCGATTTTTACCATCATTTCAACAAAGTCAAATAAACGAAGTTGATTTCGTGTTCGAAATTTCTAATACAAAAAATCATTCTAATTTTTTTTTAATCATTACATAGCAGTTGTTCATTGGTTTACTTTTGCATCGTCTTATATTGTTAATTTTGCAAGTAAATACTAAATTCATGAGTAATGTTGCAAAGAGTTTTTAAATACTTTAGACTTCAGAATCTGGTGTTTGAATACAAGAACATGAATATGCGGCCTCTCAAATAAAATAAATTAACCTCTAATTAGCAAAGAAGTTTAATTTTGAATTGATATTATTTTAGAAACAAAATAATAATGTATAAATGAAAAAATTTTAATTCCAGCAATTGTAAACTTAAAGGAATAATACATTACCTAACTGAAGCGATAGGTTTGGACACATGTCAGTTTGCATTGATACTTGTGCGAAATAGCCAACCCCCGCAATTGCGTAATTGCGGAGAAAAATTTTTTTTTCAAAATTTTTTTCAGAGGAGGAGGAAATTATTATTCCCTTTTTCTAATTTTTTTTACACGTTAATCATCACATCTCAATAAGTATCAACGTACAAAGTATACTATGCACCAGTTGAGAAATTTTTCAAGTGCCTCTTACATAGCATTAGACTGGCTCAAAAAATCTAAGATCTTCAAAACATCCTTTTATTAATATTAATGTTTTCGATTTCCCGAAATATGAAGCTCCTATGAATTTCATGGAGTATTCAATAATTGGATAGGTTTTTCAATAACTTTTTCAATGCTTTTTTAAGGATAAAAAAATTCCGTAATTTTACTGAGATACAGCTGTTTTTGTAAGTTGAAATATTCAATAATTCTGCTTCACTCGAGTTCTTAAAAAAACTCGTCCTTCGCTTTTGTTCTTTATTATGTTCCGAGGAAACTGTTGATGCTACTGAGCCCAAATTGCGTAAATATTACCCCCAGTGAAGTTAGCTAAACATTTTTTTTTAAATTTATTTAAGTGCGAAATTCTTAACATGTTACAGTATAACAAGCGGTAAAAATTACAGAAGTATCGATCCAGGTTTTTTCGAATTAAAATGCCAACCAGCAACCAAAACGTCAAGTACAAATTTTTAATTTCTACACGAAATTTTATTCTTGAAAGTATTAGCAATTAAAAAATGTATCAAAAAAATCGATTTTAAAAAGTTGCAAACTAGAATTTTACTTTATTTTACCTTTAAAATCTTCAAATGAGAAGTTCGGTATTACATCTCCGTTTTATTCAAGATAGAGTCTTCAATATACAATTTGAGAAATTTTCTTGGGGCCAAAATATAATGCCAAATATATCATTTGACTTACAGGAAACATTGGTTGATCAGCATGGTCAAATCAATTGTTGCTTGTGAGTCTCATAAAAGTTCTCATAGAAGCTTCATTAATTTTTCTTACAAAAAGGTCTCGTAACACCCCTGATGATTGAAATAATGATCACATAGTAGCATACTTGCGAGGTGATGTAAGAAGATTGAAAGTATATAAGAGTATTTCAAAAACCAAGTTAAATTCATTCAACCATATTGCCTTAACTTTCATTTTAATAATTTTTATGATTGTTACTTTGTAAATTATATTGAAATTTTTATGTCTATTAGTTAAGAAAACCATTCGATTTAGAGTAGCTGGATTTAGTACATCCCATAATAAGGTCCAATAAAATGATAACTTCACTATATCCTCTTTAAAAAGTAAAATTTTAATCATCTAGTACCTTATAATATAATTACTTAATGTATTTGCTGAATAATTATGCCAAATTTGAAATATTTACTTGTGAATATATTAATTAAGTCTTTTTTATGAGTGACAAAGCTTTTAATTGTATTTGTAAATACAAGATTTTACATGAACAGACTTAAGAATATAATTTTTCTCAAAAACATTTGATAGATCATGATATATCATTATTTGATATTAAATGTTAAAAGAAAAGAACAAAAAATGAAATTTTAATATTAAATAAAAATGATTCATTAAAAACTTTGGTATTTACAAATATCTTACAAATATGGTCTATCAGGCAACGTAGTTTTAGCTTTCTTGGACCGAGCTCTGGGATACCATCTGTGTTTGGTGGTATATGTAAGTTTTGCAAGTTCATGTGGTGTCATTTTTGGATTGGTTTTATGAAACACTGATTTAATTTCGGCTTCTCCAATTTTCAAAACAGATGTAGGTTTTGGAATCATTGGTGGCAATGGTTTCGAACATTCATAAGGAAATGGTTGCTCTGGATGCCAGCTTACCACCATGCTATCATCCATAAAAACAACTAATTCTGGCGGCAGCTTACTGTACGTACGATTAGATAATCGAATGGCATTGAATATTCTTCTTCCAACATTCATCTATTAAATAATAAATTTTTATTAGAAGCAGAAAATTTAATCGTTATTTTCATTGAAATTCAAATAGTTTATTCAAAGTCACTTTTAAAAAAATAAAATGATGAGGTTAGCTTAATTACAATTTAATTGCTTTTTATGACCCTTTGATGATCTTAACTATTTCATAATGCAGTCTAATTTAACAGGTACTTGTACTATGCTTACTTTGTCAACCACAATTTTCAGTTAATCTTTTACTATAAAGTAAATTTTATAAATTACAGCAGCTTTTTAGAATGCTTCCCGCAAATGCATCTTCTTTTAACCTCTGTGCAGTCGTCTGCTAGTGCTCAGCCCCACTCATGCTATGCATATATATTATCCAGACATGGCCGGTTACTGTCATATATAGACCAAGATACAAACATTTTTTTTCAATCGACATAAAAACATAGTAACTACTTACGGTTTTTTATGTAACCCTAGTGTTCTTCAGCTATATACAAAATTAATTTCTATAATTAATTTGTAGGGTTCCAAAAATAATAAAAATAAGCCTTGAATATTATTTCAACTTATAATTTTTGTTTCAAGAAAATTAAATGTAAAGCACATATGTCTCATTATTAGACCTTGATTTTTCCTTATTTTGTTGAATAATCATTATATATGAACCCTTTTGATAATTTAATAGATTATTTTTTATAAGAACAGACTTTTCAAGGCCTGAAAAAACCTTTCAATTAATATTTTATCTTTTTACACAAGATGAGTTCCTTTACTGTTGACTTTACAAAGTAGCTATGTTGAACATATTTTACTTAAGGAGATATAGAAGCTAGCCAAAATATCAAAATTTCAATCTAGTTTTTTGAAATTTCTACAGTATATTTTGCCAAAAGACTCTATGGCGACCTTAAGAACATCAAAATGAAAGTTGCCATAGAGCCTTTTCGAGAATTATTCAGGAGAAGTTTCAGAAAACTGGATTGAAATTTTGATATTTTGGCGGGCTTCTATATCTCCTTAAAAAAGTAAACTGGTTGATACAGTATAAAAGTGATCATGTAGAGTAAAATATCTAATTTTTGGAAATAGGAGATTCATGGAAAATTTTTTTACTTTTTGTTGCTCTTCACAGCTATTTACCATGACTGCATTGAAAATATACCTTACAGTACAAAAGATTATGAACTTTCACTTGAAAAGTTCAAGTAGATACTTGCATTTTCAATCATAGTAGCTATTTTTAGAGCTTAAATATTGGAACAGAAATGTATTGGGTAAAGAATTAATGTCAAGCCACACCAGTCATCTAAATGTTTTCCTTTCAACTTCCATCTAGTTACTGGACTTATTCAAAATTAATTTTCAGAACAATTTAAAATATTCAACATTTTTCCCAAAATATAATGGTTAAAAATATATTCAACTAATACTGTCCAAAAATTAGCTAATGACCAATTACTAGTAGTTTTGTCCTGTATTACAACCTCATGTACAGTAACGTTAAATCTATCTAGTCCAACAGAGTGGTGGAACATGTATAAGCATAGGAAAGTATGGCGTTCCATCGAACACAATTACCACACAGATAGTATGTACACAAACAATATTTTCTGAAGTTTTGGGTTAAAAAATTGAATACTTGATTTATTCTAATGCAATTGATTTTAAAGAAAAATATACTCAGAAACCAACAGTAAGAGTTATGCTCATTGACAAAAAAAGTCCATTGATTATATATAGTAATGATCTGGTGTTGAAAAATAACTTCTTCACTTTTATTTAAAAATGCTTTATAAATAGTTATTTCAAAAAATATTATGAAGGAGAGGATCAAGTTTTTGAAAGAAATAAATACATTAAATGCATATTTTTTGAAATTCACATAATTTATTAAAAAATTGGACTTTTAGAATATTTTGAGTGTTAATTTATACAGGTATACATGGGAATATAAGTATAATTACAGTAATTTTTCTGAAACAGAAAAAACTGCATCCACAAAATTTTTCTGTTTTATACTCACCAATTAGATTCAAGAGATATCTTTGTAATTATTTATTATGTTATGTGGCCATTAGCACTAAATACACATGTGCTTCTTGATTCTCAAATTTCATTTTCTTTAATAGTCATATATATTTGGGCTCAACTTCATTATTAGTTGATTTGTCAAATAAATTTTTTTTTAAATGTCAAGTACTGTAAATTATGAGCTTCGAAAGAAAAATGCACTGATAAAAATTAAAAACCACAAAAATTTTAAGTTTTTCAGTTATGCAATTCAAAGAAACAAATTTTATGAAAAAATATCATTGCACATCACACTAAGAAATTATACAAATTGATATAGCTTGACAGAGTTTCACATTAGCACCTTCAGTCACATATAACTGAATTAAAAAGTTTTGAAATTTTTAAAAACTGTAAACATCATCTGGAAAGTTCATATAACATTCAACTTTTTTTTCAAAACACAGAAATATATATCTAAAGGAGTAAATATTTGGTGGTTTTAAATAATAAAGTAATGCACAATTTTATTTCAATGCAAAATGAAATCTATTTTCTTCTAATCACCACAAGTACACTGATTAGCACTCCACCTTGGTTTGCATCGGAATATGCAGGGATTAAAAGTTTCCACAATTTTTTTAAAGTAATTAAGAATAATAAACAAGTGAAAATTTTTTGGTACTTTTGACCTTCATATTCAGAAGCAAAAACACAAACACTTACATCACTTGACACAATATTTTTGATTCCAAAGTGAAACATATTTAAGTGAAACTTTTATGAATAATGTCACATAGCACTTTTCCTGTGAATAACAATTACACTAAATCTGTAATTACATTAACTTACTTATATCCTGTAAAATAAAATCAAAATTTTAATGGCATAAATTTCCTTCCATAGGCTTACTTAGATCATAAAACCATTTTAGCATTTTTTATTATTATAGCCATAGTTTGAAGAGTTTTTGCTAACTTGATGAATAATGTAAAGAATTAATCTTACGGCTACATCTGCAGAATTTAAATTAAAAGTACGTTTTACATTTTATAACTAAATTTTTATATTTTTCAATTGACATTAACTGTAGCATAAATAATCTTAAATTTTGTTTAATTAGTATTTTTTTTTTAGTAAAGGACATGATTACAATGTAAAGTATGCCTTGATAAAATTTAAGATACTTCATATACAAGAAAATCAAACAACTTTTTTCTACATTGAAATTATTTGAAATACAAATTTTACAAAACCTTTAATTAATTTATATCAGTGAAATGATTTTTTAAATTAACTTCTGAAAAAATGAAGTATTTAAAAATTATTATATTCTCCTAATAATTATTTATCTTAATATAACAGCGAATTATGAATGTTATAAGATTTTTGCTACATTTTACTTTTTTGAATTATCATTCAAGATACATTTCCTATTTATGGAAGCTTAATGATGCTATGGATATAACAATATCTACATTAAATTCTGTGAAATATAAGTCTGCAGGTAATATGGTGCACTAGCACCATGTCAGCAATGAACTGTCATATCTACAATTATTTTCCTTTTTATATATTTTATCTGACTCATTTCATATATATTTTTAAAATCATGATCAGGTGAAAAAAAATTTTAAAAAAAATTTTGAATCAAACCATATTTTTAGAAAGTCATCAAAATTAAATTGTTTATTTCAGAGCTTAAGGCATTGTAAATTACAGGTTATCTATTAAAAATTATACCAGTTTTTGTTTATTAGTAATCTTTGCATTAAACTAACATAGGTATAGTGATTGGATAATTTTTTTATCCCAATAAATAATAAAAAATATTTTTATCAAATTTGTTAAGTTTTCATATTTTTTTTATATATAGTAGTTACAGCTAATTTTTAAAATTAATTGATAAATGTTATAATCATATAATCATTCTATTTACATGTTCAATAGTTACGTAATTACCAAGTTGAGTTTGGTATCTGTAGCTTTTTTACAACATATTATTTGGACTTTAATATAAACAAAAGCTATACTTGATTTTTTATCTTTATCTGTCATTACTTATGATAAGTACTGTATGAGATGATACAGCTTTGCAAAATGTTCAATCTTTGAAATATTTGCTTATTCAGTAAATAGTACCTTTGTTAGAGTTTCCATCTTTCATGATCATCAAACTATATTAAAAAAATTATGTAGACATTTAAGCGCTACCACCTTTCACAACGACAATAACAAGATGAAGATCTTCTTTGAGCCCCTCTTCACTAAGATTTGGACATGTGCGTTTTAGTAGTTCAGTAGAAAATGCACAAGGAGGAAAAGCATATAAAACCCCAGTACTTTCTGTATCCTTATTTAGTAAAGAAATAACACCAGCTGCCTCTTTTTGTTTGAGATAAGATACAAGATTGCGAAGCGGCCTGGTTTGTACATTTGCATCGTCATTTGTAACACTAGTGCTTGATCCAGAAAGTCCTAAAAATATTGCGTGGGAGCTCGCCGATTGCATACGCTTTGACACATCCTCTAGTTTGGGCGGATCAAGCCTAAGACGCTGTGTAATTCTGAGCATATGTTTTCCATCTTCGTCTTTCATAAGGGCATCAATAATTTCAGTGTCACCGCTTGTTAAATGGAATTTGGCTGGGAATAAACTGTTCTTTAGAATCAGAGCACCCTGCCAATTCGCAACCGATTTACGGGCAACGTCACTAAGAGTACGCGAACTGTTCAACATTCCACCCCGCGTATTTTCAGAGTCCGAGTCGCTATCAGCTGGTCGTCTTCTTGGGGAACGAGAGTGTGATCTATCTACACCTGGTTCACGAGACAATGACCTTCTTCGCGGACCATCGTAATCGGCTTCTGGTCTGTAGGGATCTTCCCTTGGATAACCACCATCGGGATAACCACCCCGGTAAGCACCCCTGCGTCCTCCTCTTCCTTCATGGTAAGCACCGCGTCCTCTAAAACTTCTTGCTCCATAAGTGGCATCAGTTTCACCACCGTAAGGATCATAACCTGGATCATATTCACCACGAGGTCTGAACTCTGCGGTTTCTTCAGGGTATGGTCTAGGCCTAAATCCAGCACTAGGAGTCACATCAGCAAAGTCGACGCGCAAGCGGCGTTCTGGACCACCAAGAGGAAAGCCTCGCATTTCCTTTACAGCAGCTTGAGCTGCATCGATTGAATCGTAAAGAATATAAGCAGTCGTATCACCTTTAATGTAATCGATCTTTTTGATAGCTCCGAAACGATCAAATTCACGTTCTAATTGAGCAATTGAAGTCCAGGGACCTAGACCACCTACCCAAATACGAGTGGTTGGAGTGGCTTTTCCGTAGCCAATCTTACATTGAAACTTCCCAATGTACTGCCCAGAAAGTTCAACTTTACAACGGTGAGCCATATCCAGAGTTTGAAAACGCACGAAGGCGTAAGCATTACCTGTACCTGGTGGTGGTCTTTTGATATCTATATCATCCACTATTCCGTACTTGCCAAAAATACGGCGCAGTTCGTCTTCGGTGATGTTAATTTCCAAATTACCGGCAAATAAAGTTCGAGTAGCCAGAGGATCATCCTCTGGTTGAACATGGTGCAGATAATTTGGGAATTTGTCTTTCTTGTTTTCAACACGCTCAAAACCATGAGCAGGATGTCTGACCATCATGTGCCTGGGAGGTCCGTAGTGTCCGTGGGGTGGACCTGGATGTACGTGGGGTGGTCCATGGTGCAAAGGTGGTCGAACAAACTCATGATGCGGTGGTGGAATCGCTTCTCTGCGCAGGTCACGAGGAGGCAACGCAACAGGAGGTCCGTAAACTCCTCGATCATAGCGTTCAACTGGTCTATGTCGATCAGTCGGTCCTGGGGATCTTGAGTAGGCATATCTATCGTACTCGGGCGGAGAAATAGACCGAGGTCGGCGATAAGCTGCCGTCTCTGGCCGCTCGTACACCGATTCCACGGGGCAAAGCTTGTCATAAATGGGTATGCGGGGTTTAGCATACTTGGCATCGCGAGCATCCTCGTGGTTGCGGAAGCAGACATAAGCAATAGGCTCATCCAAGTTGTGCGAAATACGGATAGAAAATTCACCAAATTTTTTATACTCTCGATAAATAGTTTCCTTGATTGCTTCATCACTTGCTTTAGGATGTATACCTGAGATGCATAAAACTTTGTAATAACTTGGACGTTCGGCTGGAACTTCACGGGGTGGCCTTGGAGGATATTCTTCACGATGAGAGCTGGATTCAATGTACCGAGATCTTGGAGGTGGTGATGGACTTCTTGCACCACGACTACGACGACGTACACGTTCTGGGGTGACACGTTCGTCACTTGAGTCATCGTACCTAAAGAAAAATATTTTATTACTTTATTGTTCTTTCTCAATTAATAGATAAAGATTATAAACTTGAATTTATGAGTGAATGGTTTTCAAGTGCCAATTAAATGCCTATAGGTACTGTTTATGAAAATCATTCATCATTGGACTGATGGAATCACATCGAGTTCTAATATAAATTTTTTTAGCTATAAATGATGGTATGGATCTATTATTAAGAATATTTTTATCATGAAATGGACCATTTAAATTTTCATACTGTATTTAATTTTTTACTTCAACGATAATTGATATGGAATTAGTATTAATTAAAATAATTAACTTAGTTAGTGTGGAAGTAAAAAAATTTCATCAGTTAATTTTTTGCAAAAGTAACTAAATAAATTTGGTGCAATGAGTGTTTTTATAGCAAAATTTTTGAATAAATAATACAAAGATAGAATGAATGATCTAAATATTAAAAAATAAATATTGAAAAATATAAATTTTATAGCTGATAAGGGTCTTGAAAGATGAAGCTAATATTAATAATAATATGAAACCCAAATATTTTTATAAAAATAAATATTGTATAATTTGAACGATAAAAATTTAAAAGTGGATAAAAAAGTTAAAAAAATTGAATGAGAAGTGAATAGATGTTTGTAATAGAAATTCATATTATATAATGATGGAAATGTGCTATTGTAATTCTGAAACTGCATACAGCAGCATAGTGAGTTAGTTAAACCCATAAATATAAAGATATGTATGTGTATGAAAGCATACTTCTACATGCACATACATACATAAATATTCATGTACTAATAATATTGTTCTGTACAACTTGTTTACCATAGAGATGTACTAGCAGTATATACGTACTTTTTTGAAAGTTAAATCTCAGCCTGAACAAACACAAAACTAACAAGGCGTTCAACACACCATTTACAAACACTAAACTGAAACTTTAATGTAATAAAAAGATGGTAAACTGGTAGTACGTTATCTTTTCATATTACACTATCAAAAATCAACTACTTGCTCTCTTCACAAACAGCACTAAACCCAGAATATTTTGTAGACACATCAAAGAACTTTCAATTGAAATATTTAAGCACTCTCTATCTTAGCATCACAAGAACATGGATTTCAACACTATAATCATGAGGAAACTTACATCACGACTATTAAAATTTTTATTAGAAATCAGCAGATAATATTGCACCTAGCACTTGAACGTAATTTTCTTGCTTCTCTCACACTAAAAACCATAACAATTAACACAAGAATGATCAATCGGTAAACGAATTTTTTTAGGCACAATCAGTGATGATGATTCAAACTTCTCAAAAATTCAGCGTTGGCTCGGGCGAACATATAACGGGCTCATTGTATATATGAACTATACATATACACACGCTCCAATACATTGCTACGCCTAATATAGCCCGCGCCACGATTCCGTATTAGCAGTTTGGACTCTCGAGGCATCAGAATACAGCGTGTACGTGTAAGTGTGTTTGAGTGTGTGTGTATGTGTGTGTGTAAAACGACGCGTATACATTCACTTATAGTGTCGTGCACGAAAGTAGGGAAAACGAAGGAGAGGTAGCTTCGAGATCCAAAATGGTCGTCGTCGTGTGTATAAAGAAGCACTGAATGGCAATTGGCACAAACTAACGCGCACACTCACTCACACACCGGCCACAAAATTCATCGAGATTTTTTCGCGCAATCTATTAGCTTACAATCACGCCGCAATGTTAATTACTCGCATAAGTTATCATCCACAAACGAAGAAATGAAAGTGAGAGAAGAACGCGTCTGACTTGGCGAATTATCGACAATCAGAGAGACGGAGTAAAAAAGAGACAAAGTCACACGCACGTTCGATTCAACTACTTTCCGTAATACTACATAGATAATGCGCGCGATCGTGAATTCGTCGGATGTTCATTGCGTTCACTGGATTTTTCATCATTCTAATCAATACTGCGACTCGCGCGTTATCGTAACACTTTTTTATCATAAACTTAGAACAACATAAACGAAGAAACAGCACTGAACAATACTCGGCTCTTTGGCGCTTTTGTTAACTGAAGAACACACTCACCGTCCTAACGAGGACCGGCCTCTCTTGGAACGTGGAGGCGGCGAGTCCCGACTCGAGCTTCGCTTCATGTTGTTGCGTATCTTCACCGTTATCTTATGTCTTCCTTCGTCTCTACCAAGCCCAATCATCAACGCAACTCTTTCACTTGCTGGAGCTGGTTTTCGCTAACTTCAGGGGCGAATTCGTGGACCACTCTCGTTATACGTCGTGCCTCTTCTGTCGGTTAACGCAGAAAAAGCTATGCGCATTGAACTAGCAGCACGCACTACCTGTATCTCGGTCTGGCGCGCGCGCTCTCTCTCTCACTCTCTATCTCCTTTCCACTTTTGACTTTTGAATAACCTTGCTAAACTGCTACTGCTGCTGTGGCAATGAATAAGACGATCATCGATTTACTCCCTGTAGTAAAGTCGACGTGTAAAGTCTAGACGAATGGAGTTGATCCAGAGCGTACGCACTACTGACCGGACCCGGAACACTTAGTCAGTCAGTTATGGGCGTGCGTGCACGTTCAATATGCAGACTAACTATACCAGCTTACTTCAGAGCTTCGGGCAACAATGGCCGACGCGTGGAGAGCGGAATAATATTCCGGAAAGTCGACGCGCGATGCACAGTGTTCCGTGCGGACCGCGCGAATGGGTAGCTTCTTGCCTTCATTGTAGAAAATACATAAAAGTTTACGACTGCAGCGCTGAGAAAAGGCGGCGGCGTAAATGTCAAGTGACAGTCAATAACTGTGTTAAAGGATGTATCAGATGTATGGTATTACTCTTCTGTTACCTAACATTATCAGACGTTATCATCGCCGCTTTTTAAAACACAGCGCTCTCTCTACTATAAGCGTGACTCGTCACCCAAAGGGGGTTGTCTCTTTTCGAAATTGCTAAATCTAAATCCGAATGAAAGAAAAATTCGGTTCGTGGGTTTCCTCAGTGACCTATAAGAATTTAAATGTTTCAGATAAAGTATCATCAAGCTTTGCTTATTTAAAAATATATGTTAAATTAGAAGATCTGAAGTGGTACGATGTATATTGAGGAAATATTAACCAGAATTTTTCAGAGTTTCTCAACAAAATGTTTCCATGTTGAGATCATATAATTTTTAAGAGCGGGAATGTTACTCTAATTATCGGTAGATATAATATGGAAAACCTTTACGACTGCTACTTAAAAAGTCTCTGGTACATGAACATTGTTAAATACTTGATCTAATCAATTTTTTTCCGCGAACACTTAATAGTCAATTTATTTTAACTCTATATTCTTTTGCTAGAATCGAATAATAAAAAGTCATAATAAATAAAACATATTTCAAAATTTTATTAAAAACTCTTTGTCCGTACATGTTTCTGTCCATAAAAATTATGATTTATCAAATGCATATTATGTTTTGGTTCAAAAGAAAAGAGAGAATATTTTCATTTACATTCCACCTGAGCTTAATTGCTGGCTCAGAATCGGTACGTAATCGTCGAATTGAGCTTGGAACATGTTACCGGCGATAGGATTGCCCAGATTATGAAGCTCGGCAAATTTCTGAATGGAAAAATTTGGACGTCCATTTCGGGAATTGTTAGGGATTTTCGGTATACCGGAAACATCGATTTTGCCCGGCTGCTTGTAAATCAACTGGACGTAGCGATGAAGGCCAGTACCTTTGGGAGCTCCGGCGCCTATGTAAGCGGCCAGAGTATCGCCTTTGTCGAGGCCGGAGCCGGGTACGTTCACCACGATCCAGTGCAAAAATTCACGAAGAGTCGCATTTCGCCGGCTTGGTGCATCTGGATCTGCGTAAAAGCAAAAACAATGTACAACTATTCCAGTACATGGCTAGTTTAAGATCACGCAATAATTTACCGATCATGCTAATTGTATAAAAACTCGATTCTTCCGCATTCCACTTTAAAGTTGGAGTATCTTTCACTTGAGTGGGTGTTAGTTCATCTCCCACTTTGACTTCAATACCTTTGTAATTAACCTATCAAGAAGTTAATGCATATGTATACATTTTTTGCTATGAAACTAATCAGTTTTCTTTGTGCCAATTTGAGATGGAATTCAGCGAAGCATTTTGTTACATGACAATTTTTTTTTTTACAGGAAATCAACAATAAGAAGTAATGAGGTAATGCTCGAATTAGTTTATTCATGACTCACCGACAGTAATTGGGCCGGTGCTTCCTTCAAAACATCAGGTACTATTTCATGGGTTTTGAAGTCGGACATAACATCGCCATGAGCGACAGATAAAAAACAAAGAAAAATACCTAAAATGGTCAATAAAAGTTGTATTAATCATGTATAATAAAAAAAGTGAACGTTAAAGTACACCCTATTTATTTGTTGGAAAAATAAGAAGATAAATAAAAATAAGAATTTCTTAGACGTTAATAATGTAAATACCGACTCACCTATCAAATAAACCGATTTATCTCATGTATATACAAAAATATTTTAGCACAAGATGTATATATATTTAACTTACTCGAGACGAAAAGTTTCATGTTGTTGTTCACGTGTTTGCTTCCTGTGGCGGACTGATGTTCATTATCAGCACGAAAGAAATTTATACCTAGCGAGGAACCGTTCGTTATGTCACTTTACAGCTCCAGTTGTTTGCCATGTATACACTCTTGGCATTCTGCCTTATTTTTTATTATACTACATGGAGTCTGTTGAATAAGGCCCCCGACTCGTTCTTGCACCGTGCAAATGCATTGCTTTTTTTTACATGTTATTCACACATACACACACACACACAGCAAAGTGTATCCTCGACATTTATATTCAAGCACAGGCTTTATGATATAATTTATAAAATAATTGTGCACTTCCATTGTCCGTGGACTTATCTTTTTGCTAGATCTCATAGAAGCAAGTTGCGCTGCTCATGCCTTTGCACATAATTGCAACTGACAAAAGGGAAAAGTCTCGATCGCAAGGACAGCTCCGCAAACGTCGATTTACCATGATTTTTTGTCTTTAGCTTGTGAATTTTGCTCTCGAACCGATTACGTCTATTATATTCCTTCGTGAAAATTATAGACTTTTTTCATCTTCTTTGCGCTCTTAAGGTTTCACTCAATATTTTCATTCGTGCTAGTAGAATTTTTAACAATGATTGATAGGATTCCATGCGTCTTTTTTGGATTATAGAGATGTCTCGAGATTTTCATCATAGTAAGGCATATTTTTCTTTACTTGAAGAAGATGTATTACTCATAATCGAATATTCAACTATCAACTGTTCACATTTATGCGAAAATATTATTTGTTTCAAAATCGTCAAATTTCAATCACTTATAAACAAATTCACTCATATAGGAAATAATTTAAAATTGAATTATTATAATAATAATAATTTCAATTCGAGCGATCCTCAAAATCAGAATTGTCGACCATTGAAATGTTATCAAGAACTTTTAGTTTAATCATTATTAAATTCAGAAAATGAAAAATGCGAATGTATCCGCTTCAGTTCCATGTAAAGATTTCCGTAAAGCCATTAAAATGCGCGGGTAAATACCTGAACAAAAAGCTGTTTCAGTGTAAATAGTAAAATATTAATATTATGACTAGAACCCGGATTACATAAAAAAAAGCCAAAATATGCAGGTGATTATGCACAACATTTTTTTGAAAGTATGCAAAATATGTCATTTGAAATATGCAATTATGTATGTAATTATATATTTGAGAAAACTGTAAATCGGTTTATATCAATAAAAGTATCGCAACAAAAAATTTTATCGAATTTTGTAAATTTTCAAGTGCTCTTATCTTAGACTATTTATATCGTACCGGGACGAAATTTTTTTTGATTTCTTGAAAAAATTTGCCCTCTTTGAATCCATATTATATATTGTGTATGAGTTTAAGTCAACATAGAGTTACCCTAGTAGCATTTGAACGCAACACTAAAAGTTAATGAAAAAAATTGATTGTTTAAACGTGTCCGTGTACTACAGTTTTGAAGGTACCATTTGAAGTACCATAAAATCCCTCGTTAAACTGAAATCGACTAGATTTTTGGGCATTTTGTGCAAACAAATGGTACAAGGGAGCAAAAATAATCTTAGAGAGCTCTAATTTTTTTCAAATTATTCGTTGAAAAGATTACTTTGCGATGGTGTTTGATAGATTTTGATAAAATAATTACTGTAGTCCACGGACACGTTTAAACAATCAATTTTTTCCAGTCATTTTGAGTGCTGTGCTCCAATACTACTGGTAACTCCACATTGACTAAGACCTATTCATAATATATATGGATTTAAAGAAGGCAAAATTTCTAAGAATGTAAAAAAAACTCGTCCCAATACGATGAAAACAGACCAAAATAGAAATATTTGAAAATTGAAAAAATTTCGATAAAATTTTTTTTGCAATAATTTTGTTGAGTAGTAATTTATATATGAACGGTCAGTCAGACAAATCTGTTACTACAGTATTTATTGGATATATAATATATTTCGGAAATTGATCGTTTGTAACTACCCCTAAAATATTCAATGTATGCTTTTGCATATAATCCAGACTTTAATTTATGACAAAAAAATTTAATTAAGCAATTTTTAAATTCATCTGCGAATTCTTGAAAATTGAGATAAAAGTTCGCTATTTATTATGTGCTTAAAAATTAAATCGGTTAAAATAATTGAAAATTTATTTTTTATTATAACTAACGACGGAAAAGTCAATTACATTAATTAAATTATTTTAGTAAATTTTTTAACAAAGCTAATAATTTTTTTTATGTAAAATATACATCTCTTTATATTATTTAATTAAAAATCCAGTTCAAAAATTTGTTGCACATTCTGTAAATTATTTGAATTACTATATCAAATTGTGCATTTATAGAAAAATAATATCTACAAGTATTAATAATCCTGCATGACTTCGGTTAAATATCTGGCAACATTGCAATTACAATTATATGTATAACTATATCCAGCATTGCAGATGTAAGATATTCCTTCAGTGTACCTATAACCTTGAAGTTTTTAAACTTTTTAAATGACCATTCGACTGACTTCGAATTATAAGTATTATTAAGTATTAAATAATCTTATTTGGAACATCACTTTTAGCATATGCACGAAATTACGTGTGCGATACGTGTTCATGCGTAAAAATACTACGCATATAATTACCAGAAAGTCTTCAGTAACTTTGAATAACTTATTGTAAATACGACTACAATTTAAAACACAATAACAAGTTATAAGAGCTTGAAAGAATTAAAACAGTGCTAAGTTTATGCATGAGTTTTGCATGAGTTAGTTCTGCATGTATTGAGTAGTTTTTAATATCAAGTAGCTCTCTCAAACGATAAGAAATCAAGAATGTGTTTAGAGTGCAACGACACTTCTGTCATTTTTTATCTCGTGGATGCTCTCACGAAAATCAGTTGAAAAAAAAGTTCCAACAAAGTAATGACGTTTCGCTATTATGAGAACAATCAGCTGTAGCCATTGCGGGGATCCAAGTGAAATCTAATTATCGTTGATTAGATACATGAAAAAAGAAAGCAGTATTTAAACAATTTGAAAGGTTATCTTGATATTTTCTTTTACTGATTATTTTATGAGAATTTCGTAATATTATATAAGATACATCTGGGTGACTCAAAAACAAGAGTAAAAAATATGATATTGACATCAAGTTGGTCTTGAAGGAATTTGGAATTAGTATCTAAACTTGTTGACTCATTGTGATTTCAATGCAGAAATTTCTAGCTGTCAAAGTGAATGACCATGTTTAGCTTTGAAGGAGACTATAGGCGCAAGCCACAACAAAACTTAGCTGGAGCTAGTCGAAGAGATGAAAAAGCCACTCTACTAAAACATGCTCAACTTGAAAGAATAAAGCGTGAACAGCAAAGAAAAAAACATAATTCAACTGTTAAAATTCAAGCATTTGTTCGCAGCTTCATTGTGCGTCAAAGAATAAAAAAGTATCAAAGATGTGAATTTGACCAACTACAACAAGCTATTAGTTCACAACCAATTAATTCAGATAAATTAGTTCCATTAGTAAAGAAATTGATATTTTTTTATGATTATAAATATGATGGCAATAGATTGATATGGCTTTTGCAAAATATTATTAAACTACAAAAAGAAATTAAAACTGGCACCAATTCGGCTTCCAAGTGGTTTTGGAGAATAAGGTAATGTTAAATTTAATGATTGATAAAATTTTATTATATATAATGTACTATTTTATTATGTAAATTTGTAGATGGCTTCTAAAAATATGTATGATGTATAGTCTTCAAACTGTTCAGGATAATTCGGCTCAATCTATAGCTGTGCCACTAAGAATTTTAGAAATTTTTACTACCCTTGATGCAAATGAAAAAATTATGGAATGTGAATCTGATAACTACTTGAAAGATATTTTTGCTTATTTGGTAAAAAACCAATATTTTCAACAAGTTAAGCAGCTAATAGATGCTAAAGTTCCTTCCAATATTGACCCTTCACCAGTACCACCAACTCCAATGGCAAAATGGTTTTTGGAAATGATACAACGGCCTTTATGCATTGTGAACAGACTGAATGATGCTAATGATTTTTGTTTTCTAGTTTTACATGAATTTTATGCAAGTATACTTGCACCTAAAGTAACTGAAACAATTTCAAATTTTGTCATTCCTGCACTGAAAGAGTTTAAAGAACTTCCTTATCACAAATTAATATCATGCATTAATGCTGCTGAAGTACATACATCGATTAGTTCATTTTATGCTATTCTTCATTTGGAGCCTTCATCTTTTTGTAAGTTTATACTTAGGAAATAAATAGAATCATTTAAATGATTGACTAAGCTCAAACTTTTTTTATAGCTCCAGGTAAATCAAAATCTATTTTGATGGACTATCTTCAAGTACTTGCTACACTGAGTGGAACCATAAATCCTCCACCTAAAGATCAAAAACCAAATTGTAAAGATAAAGATGACTCAGGCAGTGATAGTGATTCTGAAATACCAGATACAAGTGAAACAGAAGCAATTCGTAGTTGCATTGAAATGTTGAATGAAGAACATCGTGTGCAAAGTATTATTGTTGCTGTTGAACAAAGTGATGATCCAACGTTTATGCAACCTCTTTGCCAGCTGTGTCATAATTTACTGATAACAAACAAAAATGCTATTCACAAGTACAAATTATTATATATGCTTGCCTTCAAACCAAATTTCCTTCGTCAATTATGGAGCAATTTGTTAACTATAAGTCAGACTTCTTTATTTGGAGGATCAACTCCTTATCTACACATCATATCAAGAGGCATAGCTCTTTCAGCTGAAGATACTAAAAAAGTTTTACCACTTTTAGCTGTATTTTGTTCACTCTTCAGTCTACTAATAGCTACTTTACATGACAATGAGTTCTTTATTGAACCTAATGGTGTAGATTCACTCATGTCAAATAATTCTGATAAAAGTCAGCAAGCGATGCCTTTTACCACTTATGATTTAGCCATTCTCAGTTCTCATTTGAAGGGAGTATGTCTTGGCTTAGTGGAACTGGCTTTTCCAGATGCTAGATTTTCTGTCAGAGATGATTACAAAAATGCTGTGTTAGGACCTTCCACAACAATGTCTGCTAATTCACAAAATACTCATTTATGGGCTCATTTATTCAAGGTAATATATGAAACACAATGGTAAAATGTATTCTTTTTTAATAAATTAATTGGCTTTAGGTAACAGTGAGTTTGATACGTCAATTACACACACGTGATCTTCGACGTCAGTTTTGCCCAGATGGTCATTGGATAGCATCAAATATAATGATTCCTCTTCACAAGCCCGAAGATTTTAATCTTCGCCGTCGTCGTCTACGGAATATTGTACCTTTTCAAACTCTTCGAGCTTTCACTCGAGAAGAGATTGAAGATGGGCCACCATTGTCGACAAAGGAAGTACGAACTTTGACGCTTTTGCGTGAAATTCCATTTGTTGTGCCATTTAACGATCGTGTCATCGTTTTCCAATCCCTAATCAATCGAGATAAATGCGAACAGCAGGGAGAATTATCACACTTTATGCAAGGGCCCTCAATTCATATTTCCGTTCGAAGAAATTATCTATACGAGGATGCATTTGATAAACTGTCTCCTGAAAATGAGTCTGAAATGAGATTAAAAATGCGTGTGCAATTAGTCAACGCAGTTGGTCTTGAAGAAGCAGGTGTTGATGGAGGAGGACTATTTAGAGAGTTCTTATCAGAATTGCTTAAAACCAGTTTTGATCCTAATCGAGGCTTTTTTAGACTGACTAAGGATAATATGCTCTATCCAAATCCCACAGTACACATGCTGGTTGATAATTTTCCAAAACATTATTATTTTATTGGTGAGTTAATCGAATTTTGTTTCGAATTTATACCAATGTATTTAAATTTATAATAATATAACATGTATATTCTTTCATTAATAGGTAGGATTCTGGGAAAAGCTTTGTACGAAAATTTATTAGTAGAGTTACCATTTGCTGAGTTTTTCTTGTCAAAGATCGTTGGAAGACAATCGGACGTGGATGTTCATCATCTTGCATCTCTGGACCCTATCATGTATAGGAATTTATTATATTTAAAAAGTTACAAAGGTGATGTGACAGATCTTGGTTTAGATTTTACAATCTTATCAGATGAATTAGGTAATTATTTATAGAACAAATGAAAATTAAATAGTTTTTTATTGTATTTAATGATTTTATTAACTTTTATGTAGGTGAAAGACGAGTTGATGAATTAAAACCTGGTGGAGCCAATATCACCGTGACTAATCATAACCGAATAGAATATATTCATTTAATGGCTGATTATAAGTTAAATAAGCAGATTCGCGCTCAATGTAATGCATTTAAACAGGGCATTGGTAATGTTGTACCACTTGACTGGCTACAGATGTTTAACAATAAAGAACTCCAAGTTTTGATTTCCGGCGCTCAAATTCCCGTTGATGTAAAGGATCTCAAACAACATACAAATTATACCGGTGGATATGCACCAGACCACCCAACAATCATTATATTTTGGAAAGTTGTTGAAGAATTTGATGATCAACAAAAAAGTCAGTTACTCAAATTCGTCACAAGTTGTAGTAGACCTCCTCTTCTAGGATTTAAGGTTCGTAAGGCTTTTTTACAGCCTATATGCATGATAAAAATTATTTATAGAACTTTTTACATCTGATATTTTTATGCAGGAACTAGATCCTCCTTTTTGTATTCAACATGCTGGGAGCATTGATAGATTGCCAACATCTAGTACTTGTATGAATCTTTTAAAACTTCCTGAATTTCCAGATGAAAAACTGTTAAAAGAAAAATTATTATATGCCATTCAATCTGGTGCTGGATTTGAACTCAGTTAAATTAGATTTTTACTTGTTGAATATTCCTTTGAATACTCTTCATTGGATTAAATACTTTAGCTGTAAGTTGTTCAAATATGTAATCAAATGAATTTTTGTACATGCAGTTTTTTAAAATGAAATTTACATGCATGTTTCAATAAAAAAAATAATTAGCTAATACAAATTTAAAGTATGTATAATAAGTGGTTCATGCAACTAATGAATACATTTGAATACTTTAGACGACTGTAAATAATTGTTTGTAAAATAAGATTGTGCAAATATTTTGGTGATAAGTTTAAGTATGTGTACTTATTATCCTTTAAATTTAGTGCTATTTTATGCAAACATTAAGGAACCAATGAACAAATAGTAAAAAATTATAAAAGGAATGGGATGAATTTATGATTCTTAGTTCAATATAAATAAAACTGATATATTGTTTTACCATTAAATTAAGTTTATTTAATACTTTTTCCAAACCAATATTTAATTTTTCATCATTTTTTGATGATCATTTAAATTTAAAAGTAATTTTGTTATTTATCCTCAAGTGTACAAACACGGTATCGGAGTTTCTCTATCAAGGTATCGTCACGTTTAGAAAATATTTCTGCCCAATTGTATGTGCAATTGTACAACGCATGCATACAAGACATTGCACAGGTTCTGAATTAGTAAACGTTCGAAGGTGTAGTTATATAGATATAGATATACAACTTGTGCATTGTTGTTATGACCCACGGACGGATCTGAGCACAAGCGTGCGCGGTATTATTTCTGCACTTGCTTCAGATCTAATTGAAGAACACATGTTGAAAATATTCTGCGTGCATTTATTGCAGCCGTTCTATCGGTCTGTTTGTAAATATATTGAGATTGATCAGCTTACGTAATAACAATAAAACAGATCTGAGTTATTAATGATTTTTGCAATATTAACACTGCGTGCAAGTGCGGTAAAAGGAAGTTAAAATAAGTCGCGTTGTTGATCAAGGCCGCAGAGCAACGTAACGCGAGAAGTTTATCTCGCGGGTTTTCGCTTAAAAAATCGTCTTCCGCGCTTGATGCGGATCGAGTCGCGTGAATATAAATTGTCAACTTGCATGAGATTCAAGAACATGTTGAGTGCATCGAGTAAAAATAATGATTCGCCCGGAACCAATACGTCATCTTCAACGATATCGTCGTTATCGACTTTATCGGACTACACTTTATCATTGGCTTCGAGCAGCTCAGAAGCGAATTTGCAACAACCCTCCGTTGACGTTCTATTACTAGCAGCACAAGATCCAACAACACTAGGAAACAATAATTTGCCCAAGGTTATATCATCCAACAGTTCGAGTGATGACACGATGGCGGCAGAGCACGAGTTTAGTAATTTTGCAAAAATATTAGATTATAGGATTTTCAAGTGTTCCAGCTATTTGACAACGTATTTCCCGGAGTGAGTTCATTTTCTATAATGAGTATAGTCGAGTGCCTGTACATGCTAAGCTCAAACCACCGGGCTTGTTTACCTATTCTGCGCAGTTTAAATAATTTTATAACCTAAATGTCACTTTGCAAAAATTTGCAAATACTTTTGGGATATTTTGTTGTTTATAAATATTTTATATTTATTTTACTACTCCTAGAAATATACTGATTGACAAGCCCTCGGATTCAGGTTCGCGATGGTCTACTGGTAATGAAGATCTTCCGCAGGTGACATAATCGCTTTTCATTGTTAATCTTTTTAATTTTTACTTGAATTAAATTATCATATTTATGTTTGCAGTATATTATACTGAAGTTGCAACAACCATCGATTGTCAAAACAATAACTTTTGGAAAATTTGAAAAAGCTCACGTTTGTAACGCAAGGAAATTTAAGATTTATGGAGGCTTAGAGCCTGACAAGATGATAGAGCTATTAGATGGGTATTTAATTGTGATAATACTAGAATTGTATTTCAAACAATTAAATTTTAATAAATCTTTAATTACAGAGGTTTAAAAAATGATACTACTCCCGAAACATTTTACTTAAAGTGTACTATTGGAGGTACAGAAAATTTCTTTCCTATTCAGTATGTGAAAATTCTTTTAATACAATCTTGGGGTCCAAATATGAACTGCTCTCTTTGGTTTATTCGACTTACTGGATCGGACAATCCTAAATTGATCAAATCCAGAATTGAGTGGCTTCATCAGGTAAAGTACAAACATGTTACTGAATATTCATTTTTATTTTTCTAAAACAACATATTCTATTTCAAACTATAGCATCAACAAAAAGAAGTTGTAAGATTATGCATCAAACATTTCCGTAAATATCAACAACCTGAAATAATGGAAACTATACAAAGAGTGACTGGCATTACATTAGAAGATCCTCGATTATCAAATTTGTATAATTTACTAGTTGTTAATGGTGATCACCAGCAAACCGAAGAATTTATTATTGACGCTGTCCAAAGTAAAATAACTTCGAAAATAAATTTATTTAGATAAATTTAAATTTACAGATTTACTATAAATTTATTTTTAGATGGTCTATTAGATGATTATATTAGTTCGCAAACTTATAAAGTATCATGGTCTAAAATATTAACCTCTGACCCCAAACCAGGGATGAGAGGGGGTCATCAAATGGTTCTTGATCCTTTAACAGAAACTTTATATTTATTTGGTGGCTGGAACGGAAATCAAGATCTTTCAGATTTGTGGACATACAATATTGCTACTCGTGCATGGACTTTACTGTGTCCAGATACATCAGCTGTGGTAATAGCATATGTTATAATTTTGTTTTTTGAAAAAACTAATTAAATTCTGATAAATATAAATTATAAAAATACTTTTTAGGGGGGACCTAGTGCTCGTTCATGTCACAAAATGTGTCTTGATCCTGAAAAGCGTCAACTATTTACATTAGGACGATATTTAGATACACAATTAAGAATACCTGTAAATTTGAAAAGTGACTTTTATGTTTATGACATTGAATTAAATAAATGGACTATCATTTCTGAAGATACAGCAGCTGCAGGTGGTCCAGAACTTATTTTTGATCATCAAATGTTGATGGATCTTGAAACAAGAACAATCTATGTTTTTGGAGGAAGAATACTTCTTCCAGTACCAAGGTTTAATATTCTCTAATTTATCTATACCTTTTTTATTGCATGGAAAATATTTATTAATAAATTTTTATAGCCCAGATGAAAATTCTACCAATTCAAATGAATCAGTTTTCTCTGGTTTATACTCTTATCATGTACCTAGTAGAAGTTGGAAAAAGCTTGCAAGTGATATTTCACAACATAGCATTCCAAGTACAGAACTCAGCATAAGATCAAGAGTTGGTCATTCCATGCTGTTTCATCCTGTAAGAAAATGTTATTTAGTTAAAAAAATGAAATCGAAATTTTGAATTTTTCTAAAATTGTAAAATGTCAAATCTTTAAATATGAATTTTTCAGGGCTCAAAGAAACTGTATATTTTTGCTGGACAAAGAGGAAAAGAATATCTAAATGATTTCTTTACATATGATGTTAATACAAATGAAATTGAACATATATCATTAAGTGAATTAGGATGTAGAGATTCCAATCATATTCCTGCAGCAGGTTTTACACAACGTGCAACTATTGATCCAGATCGAGGTGAAATATATGTTTTATCGGTAAGCAATTTAAATTAATCATTTTACATGTTAAAAAAAATCCCATTATTAAAATATACTGTTTTCAATTATTTTGTAGGGATTAAGTAAGGATAAGGATAAAAGAGACGAAAATGTTCAAAACTCTTTTTGGGTCTACAATATTAAACATAATAAGTGGTCTTGTATATATCGCAATGAAAATGTTGATGAATTTTATTGGAATAAAATGCAAAAATTTGAGCCTTGTCCGCGTTTTGCTCACCAACTTGTTTATGATCATATCAACAAAGTAATTTTAAAAATCTTTTTGAAATTGGACAAATGATTTTAAAATTTTACAAGCTATAATAAAAATATTTAATTTTTAGATTCATTATTTATTTGGCGGAAATCCAGGTCGAGCTAGTTTTCCTAAATTGAGACTTGATGATCTGTGGCAATTAAAACTCTGCAGGCCTTCCCAGGATCAAATTCTCACACAATGTAAACTTATTATCAGAAAACATAAATTTGAAGAATTAACGGTAAATGACAGTTATGATGCTCTGCAATATTTACAAAGCAAAGTTTCTGAAATTATTGATCATACTGATACAGAACAAGCCAAAGAGGTATTATTAAATTTTATAATTGAACCTTTATCGATGCGTAATACCCTTATGAAATTCATCTTGTCTTTTAGTTTCAAAAAATGGCCACTACAATTTTTAAGCAGTTATCATCTATGGAAATGTTAGAAAATAATCAAGACTTGAGTAATTTATTTGATTTAGAGTCTAATGATAAGTCTATGCATGCTCACAGAATGCAATTGTATGATAAGTTATGTGAATTTTTTCCAGAATCTCTGACTCAACCGAGAACAAATCTCATTGATCTTTTACCATTGTGATAAAATTTAATTATTTTTTAACAGATAATACTATTACTGAATTGTTGTAATTTATTTATATTTTAAAAATGGAGAAGATAAAATGTTGATTTGTAACAGTAACTATTTAATTGAGAAGTTTCAAGTATTCAAGATGTTAACTGGAATCTGAAATATTTTATTTGTCAAATTGATTGTATTTTTTTCATTTGAAATGTTTAATTAGCATACATTTTTTATGTGTATATACATATATTTTTCTTAGTTAAATATTATATTCCAATTTATTCTATCATTTCATGTGATTTTTGTGCCATTTTCCAAAAAATCTTTAACTTTTTAACGATAAAAATCTAGTATTAGTTCAAATATGAAGTTGAGATCCAGTTTTCATTGTTAATACTCATTTTCATTGTCTCTGTGTATACTCGTATTACTTATGGTACTCAAAGATATTTTCGACTGTAAAAATGTAAAGTGTAAATTAAAATAACATGTAAATTATATAATACATAGTAATTAAATTGATTTTATATTTTTTTTATTACTTATTGCATTCATTACAGAACGTGAATTAGCTGTTAGTGTTTTTCCTGTTCTAAAAATAGTATATTGTTCAATGAAACGAGGTGTTTTTTATCACAAGCTTAACGGTATTTAGCACCATCACTGTATCTCAAAACCAAAATATTCAAATATTTTTGAAATTAAGGCGTTATTTTTTATTACATTTCTCATAAAATTAACGAAATAATTTATCGAACATCTATAGTCTTGCTAAAAATGAAAGGATTTTTTATTGTATTTCTATAAAAAAATTCATGTAAATGTTAACTTTTTTAAATTTTCGCGCTCAACTGAAGCTGCACTGACTGAGATGCTCGATCTGTGTAGTTATCGTCTGCCATACGAGGGGGCGTTGTAATTTCTTTGGCCGATAAAGATTAGAAATACATATAACATATAACATAACATAACATAGCAGCAGCCGTCAGCACAGCAGCAGCTCGCACTCACAGACACAGCCGCAGTACTCAGTCGACACCCGACAATCACACGTGCACACCATACACGTACAAAGTAACACAGCACAACGAAACACAACCCAAACAGTGTGCGCACTTACCCGACAGCTCTGCTTCAGTTTTCAGCTCTGCTCTTGAAAACATTTCAGATCAGGTTAAGTGGTGAAAAAAGGTTAACAAAAGTTAACCATTCTTTTTGATAATTGTTAAAAGTGAATCAGTGCTGTATAAAAACTGTTACTCATTGTGGTCAATTTTAGTGTACTTTTTCTTGAACGAGTGTCGCATCATCTCATTTACCTAATAAATAGTATCAGCCAATCCAAAGAAAAACTGTCAATATGGGAAAGCACGAAGTAGGCACACCAAAATATATTGCCAATAAAATGAAAGCTAAAGGTCTGCAAAAATTGCGATGGTACTGCCAAATGTGCCAAAAACAATGTAGAGATGAAAATGGCTTTAAATGCCATACAATGTCAGAATCACATCACCGTCAGCTTCTATTATTTGCTGATAATTCCCATAAATACATGGATCAATTTTCCAAGGAGTTTTCTCATGATTATTTATATTTGCTTAAAAGGCAATTTGGAACCAAACGAGTTCCAGCAAATAGGGTATATCAAGATTATATTGCTGATAGAAATCATATTCATATGAATGCAACACAGTGGTTAACGTTAACAGCTTTTGTAAAATGGTTGGGTAGAACTGGAAAGTGTGTTGTTGATGAAACAGAAAAAGGTTGGTTTGTAACGTACATTGATAAAGATCCTGAAACAATAGCTGCTTCCGAAAAAAAGGAAAAAAAAGAAAAAATGGACCGTGATGATGAAGAGAAAACAATGGACTTCATCAAAAAGCAAATGAAAAAAGATAAACAGAAAGACAAAACAGAAGACGACTTTAAAAAACCGTTGGAAAGAACAGGAGATGAACCTTTAGTACTTGATATTAAATTAAAACCCAAAACAGGTTTAATTATTAAACCGACTAAAAAAGAAACTTTGGCTGTGAAAATCAAACAAGAACCATTAAGTGATGATGAACAAATCAAAAGTAGTAACAAACGAAAATTGGATTCATTTGATGAAAAATTACCTATTTCTAAAAGAGTAAAAAAAGAAAAAGATGAATATCAAAGAGATTTAAACAAAGGTTGGCTAAGACCAGGGCTATCTGTAAAGATAATCACAAAATCTTTAGGAGACAAATATTATAAATCAAAAGGGACTATTATAGAAACTATTGATAAAAATAGTTTTGTTGGTAAAGTAAAGCTCCAATCTCCAGAGGAAGTAGCAGGACATATTGTTAAAATAGATGAAGAACATCTTGAAACAGTCATTCCATCAATTGGTAGAGATGTAATGATTTTATACGGAAAGTATGGTGATAAATTAGCTGTAATTGAAAAAGTTAGAGAAGACGAATTTTGTGTTGATGTAACATTAAAAGATGAAAAAAAACTAGTGAAACGAATACCATATGAACAAATAAGCAAATATGTTAAAAAATAATTTAAATTGTTCATATTATCAGAAAAAAATAAAATATTATTTTTTAATTAATTATTTTTGTAATAAATTATTTCCTTTCTCATTTTTCTCATTTAAAGGTAATAAGTGTTTTACCAAATACATAACTATTGAAAGTAATACAAAAAAAATTTAAGAAACTTACACAAATTTTATTTAATATATATTTATACACTAATATTTATTTACAATAAATTTTACATTATAACTGACCAGGTTTCAATAAACTATAAAAGTCATTGTGCGTTTTAAAATTGTCTTCAAATAAAAGGATTTTTTTCTTATTGACTTTGAGTAAAGAATTTCGCCAAGGAAATTTTGAATCTTTTGCAACAAAAATAGCTTGTCCTTGTGGAAATTCATAAAATTCGTTAGTAAATGGAATTTTACCAATGAATATTGCTCTATATGTTTTTGTATTTTCATTGTGGTAAATTCTTATAACATATCTACCTCTGACAACAGTCGTCATTACCAAAAGAGCAGCACTTACAAATAGAATAAGTCCCAATTTCCATGGTTCTTTCAACAAATCATCAACATGAACATCTTCTATTGCACTTGCGTCAGGAGATGCACCGGTATAACATATGTATCCTATAGCTCCAACAGTAGTAAATATGAAAAAGTTTAGTGAATGGTACATCATAGCTCCCGATCTATGATTAGTTATACGATAAATCATATTATAATCTCTTGGTATGTTGTCTGCTTTTTTCAAAAGAATTTCCATTTTGTTGGATACTGTTATTAACTGTCTTTTGAACATTTTTGAACCTGCAGTTACTGACAGTCCATGGCGACAACATCTTAGTAAGCTCAACATCTTGTCTAAAAACAATTTAAAGGTTTATGAGCATATAGTCAATCACAAATGGTAAATAATAATTATGTATGTATGAAAATGTTTCATTTGTTATGTACTGGGTATGAAGTCAAATGTTTTAAGTGTTATGAACGTATAAAAATGTACACTTAATTTCATCTTAAAGGAGGGAATCACTTTAATCAGTATCACCATTTCATAATAGGCGTTTTTTCTTTTCATTTACCTCAGCATTTATGGGCATGGAGGTTAAACTCCTCTGTATTCTTTAATCTGCACTCTGTATCTCTTGTGTTAGTACGTAGTGAATAGTCTGTCGGTATATAGTGTAAGTTACAATTTTAGTATCTGGTGTCTGGTGACTAGTCTCTCTAGTCAGTGCCCATTATGTATCGCCCATGTGGTTTCGCTGGTGTTCTGTCTGTCTGTCAATTCCATAATCCATAGTCCAATAAAATTAGATCTTATTTAACCTCTTTGACTTTTTTAAATTCTTAACCTCTAATTTAGTGAGCTAACTCATGCTGGCGTTGCGAGTTGCGGCCTGCGCATCTCAGTTCTCAGCTAGTCATTGTGGCGAATTCAACGTTAGTGAATATCACAGGAAGTGTAGAGAGCACGTGTACTTTATTTATTTTTTTTGGTTAAAAGAGAAGAACTTATTTGTGAAAGATTGTTATTATTCTAAACAAAAATGCCAAAGTTATTTGATGATCAGGACAGTTCAGGTGCGGAAGAGGAGTTGAAAATTAACGAGGAGTACGCTAAAAATTACGACAACTGGAGAAAGAAAGAAGAATTACAGAAATGTAAAAATACTATTTAGAAATTTATAATTTTAATTTTTCTATGTTCTTTTCTAATAATAACTCTTTTCATATACTTATTTTAGTGAAAGCATCTGGAGATAATGTAAACCTTGATGACAACTCTGATGAATCTACTTCATCATCTGAAGATGATGATGACGATGAAGAAGTAAGTTTTTTCAACCTATTTATTTGCAATTTTCTTGTATGAAATAAATCTCATAATGCTTTTTTGTACCTTTAGATAATATCAAAAGAACTTGATAAAGATTTTTTTAAAACACTTGCCTGTCTAAAAAATAGAGATCCTAGAATTTATGATCGTAATGTCAAATTTTTTAAAGACCACGAAGAAAGTGAACAGGCAGTGGATAAATCAAAAAAAACTAATAAAAAAGAGAAACCTATGAACTTACGAGAATATAATAATAAATTATTAGTTGAAAAAGAAGGAAAATTAAGTGATAGTGAAGATGAAGATAAAGAAAAGAAGAAAAATGAAAACGTACCTTATGTACAACAAATAGCTACAATCCAAGAAAGTATTGGTAAAGCTTTACAAGAAATAGATGAAAATGATGATGGTGACGAGATAATAAAACAGAAAATAAATACTGAAGAAGATATCAAAGAGGTATATACATTTTTGTAGACATTATTCAGTGTCTTATTTTACTAAAAAAATGTTTTATTACAATCAATTTTATTAACTTATTGATGTAATGACTTAGTATTTAAGATTATAATATCATCATATGCTGATTTTTCAGTCCATATGCTAATAAATAAAATATATAATATGAATCATTGAATATTTTAGGAAGATCATGATATTATTGATTTCTTGAAAGGAAAAGAAATTAATATCAATGAGGAAGAAAAAAAAGATTTTGAACCCTTACGCAATTACTGGAATAACTCAAACTTGGATAAAAGTGAACAATTTTTGAGGGATTATATTTTAAATAAAAAGTTTTTAGGCAGAAACGATGATAATGATCAGAAAAATGATTTTGATGCTCATTTAAACTTATCTGAAGATGAAAAAGACCTCATTAAACAGGAAGAATTTGAGCATAAATATAACTTCAGATTTGAAGAACCAGACCAAGAGTTTCTCAAAAGGTAAAACAATATTTTCCAATTTCATTGTTATATGGGTGTAATTTATAGGTAGGAAAATTTTATACAATTCTTATTTATCCTGAGATGAATCTGTATGTAAAATTCACTTATAGTCTTCTTTACTTAATAATTTTAATTAATATTTTTTTAATTAAAAAATCTGTAAGTTGTTAAAACTTCACATTCATTTTGTAAAAAGTAACAATAATTTATAATTCTCAAGTGCACAAATTATCTCTTGTCTTTATATTTATATAATTTTTTAATTGATTATTATTAATTTTAAGGTATCCACGCGTTTTAGAGAACTCCATGAGAAAAAAAGACACTCGTAGAGCTGATAAACGAGCAGAATTAAAAAAAAGGAAGGAGGAAGAAAAGATGCAAAAAAGAGAAAAATTAAAAGAATTGAAAGTTCTAAAAAGAAAAGAAATTGAAGAAAGATTAGAAAAATTAAAAGAAATCACAGGTTAAATTTGAATATTTTTAAATTTGATTATATCATTCTTTATTAAAAAATTGCTTGTGACAACTATTTTATTGTAGGTAATGATGATATACAGCTTAACATGGTGGATTTGGAGGAAGATTTTGATCCAGATGCTTATGATAAGAAAATGAGACAAGTTTTCAATGACGATTACTATGCTGCAGCAGAAAACGAAGATGTAAAACCAGAATTTCCAGAAATTGATGAAGAACTATGCATAGAACCAAATTGGGACAATTATGATCCACAGAACGATGAAATTGATGAGGAAAGTGCGCCACACAATAATGAACCTCATTGTGAAGATCCTGATTTTAATGTTTGTTTGAATTTTATATTTTACTATTTTCAATGAGTTATAAATGTGATAAATAATAAATTAATAAAATTTTTAATTAGATGGATGCTGAATATGATGGTACTCAAAACTTGCAAGATAAAATAATTGAATCAACTAAAACTAAAAAACGAAGAAGACGCAGTAAATTTTCAGAGCTCATAGCAAAAGAGAAACCTAAATTTGATCCTAGTCAACATTCATCATATAAAGAATACTATGATCAGTATTATGCACTTGACTATGAGGATATCATAGGTGATATACCATGTCGATTTAAGTATAGAGAAGTTGTACCAAATGATTATGGTCTGACTTTGGAGGAAGTAAGTGTATTGCTTATATTTTATTCTAATTTAACATTTAATAATAATATTCATGTTTGCAATAGATTTTGGCTGCAGATGAAAAAGAATTGAATAGATGGTGTTCATTAAAAAAAGCTCTACAATACAAACCTGAACATGTAGAAAAGAATGATGTTAAGTTGTACCAAGAAAAAGCTAAAAATGAATATCTGAAGAGAAAAATTTTAAAAAGTTTATACAAAGAACCTGAAGAAGAAGCTGATGAAATTTTAGCACCAGGTACAAGTAATAACAAGGAAATACATAATTCAACCAAAAAAAGTGAAAAAGAAATAAAAAAATCGAAAGAAAGCTCAGACAGCATTGACACTAATAATGAAAAACAGCAGAAATCAAAAAAGAAACGCAAAAGAGAATCAATAAACTCTCAAATTAAAACAGAGGAAAGTTCAGGAACAAATACTGTTTCTGTTGAAGAGCAAACAAATTCATCTAAAAAATTTAAGATAGAATCAAAAACTCATAGTAAAGAAGAAGAAAAAACATCCAATTCAAATACTGCTAACAATAAAATACAAGCTAGTTCAAAAATAACTGATCAAGATGGAAATAGTTTCATGAGTAAAAAAGAATTGAGAAAACAAAAATATAAACAACTTAATAAGAAATTCAATAAAAAAGAACAAGCTGAGGGTGATCTACATTCCTTAAGTGAAGAAAGATTAAAAGCTTATGGATTGAATCCTAAAAAGTTCAAAAATAAGATGAAGTACATGAAAAAAAAATTGTAGTAACTGAATAACTTGTATACATGTAGATAAAATTTGTGTGTAATGTAAATTGTATGTAATGCTACTGAATAATTATGTATTAAAAATAAGCAATATTGGAATTTATTAAAAATGTATGTTTTAATTCTATGAATTTTTTTCTTTAAAAATAATGTAACTTGTATCAGAAGTAATTTTCAAAAAGTTTCAAATAAAACACTACTTTTCAATAAAAACTATTCCACTGATTTAAAAATATCATTTATGATACTAGAATCTTTATTTTGACGAAAATTAGAAAGAGATTTTTGCTCATAATACTAGGATGAGTATACAATATCAATATTTTTGTTTTGTAAGTAACTCTGTGTCTAGTTCTCTTGAAAGTGACAGTTGCTCTTTATTTCAAACACATTATTGATGAAGAAAAATATATAAATATGTGTGTCTAAACTTAAATTTGTCAGCAAAAATATAACTGCACAACTTGAGTGTAAAAAAAAATACAATCACAAGTACTAGAAAAACATCATTATAGCTGAATGTAAACATTAAATTATATAAAATTTAAGACAAGAAAGAAAAATCATCCATCATATAATTGTGATTGACAATAAAATTTAACAGTTATATAACAGTCATATAAACTAGTTGTCGGTACCCAAACTGGTGATAATTAATATTTTATTACAGAGTAATTGGATTAAAATTTTTAAAAGTTACTATGAATTATTTTCATAAATTAAATAATTTGAATAGCCAAAGTAATAATGAAACATTTCTCGAAGAAACCTATCATGAGTTAAATAAATTAGATCAAAAAATAGATACTTCGTTAGATCCTGATATTACTTTGATTGATAAGACTATCAATAATGAATACGAAATAGAGTGTTCTCTGTTTGTGGATATTGTACGATCAGTAGAAAATAGCAAAAAATCAAAAACCACTTTCTTTATCAAAGAATTTCCAGTAAATGAAGTGAAACAGCAGAGCTGTAACATAAAACAAAAAGTTAAATCATGGCCATCTAATAATATGATTCAAAAGCACAGTGTAAAGTGTGAATTAAAACAATATTCAATGTTAATATTAGAAAAAGAAAATTATTATAAAGGAAAATATAGTTTGGACAATAATTGCAGGAAACTAAAAAATCAAGCTCTAATTTCAAAAGGAAATATTAGAAGAGCATTATTAGATATTACAAAAATATAAATTTTATCAAAAGTTGCACCAGCTGAAGGCAAAATATGATGATCATGGTATAAATTGTATTCAAATGTGTTTGCAAAAATCTGAACTGCTACAGATTTACCTGGAATTTATAAACTGTTTTAAGGTTGGAAATTGTTCATATCTGATGAATTCCAATGATTCAATACCATTTTCATTTTATTCTTCAGAATAATTAGTGTTTTTAATACATTTGGGGAGCATAAATTACTCTTTTTTAATGCAATAAATGTTGATAACAACAACTTTAATTATTCATTATGAAAATTCTTCATTCGTTTTCAAAGCATTTCAAAAAATTTAATCAATAATTGCTATTTAATTCAAAATTAATTTTTCATGTACTACGCCAATAAAAAAATAAAGCTTTATACATATCATGTATCATTATAGTTATTACAGTAAAATAAATTTTGTTAATAAATCTTATTCTGCTTTCTTACTCATTGACAATTAGTGCTGAATCGAGATTTTTTGTCAAAACATGAAAATTTTACAAGTCTCTAAGGAATTTTTATCTTATAACCCATTGTTTACTCACTTTTTGTTGGCAAAAATTTGAACTGATATTTATTTTAGGTGTAGCATAAATTGCAAGGTAATTGTGAGTATTGGTTACAGCGATTTTTAAATTTTGTTTCATTAAAATATCAAATTGGTATTTTTAAAAAAATTATAGCTTTACTTATAGTTTATTAATTTATTTATTCATGATAAACGATAACAACTCTTATTTAAAATTTTATAACTACTGCCATTCTTCATCAAAGGTTGATCTTATCATAATGGGCCTGGAATAAAGATATAATTGTTAGAAATGTATGTATTTGAATGTATATTCAACTAGAAATTAAAGTGAAATTGTGTAGGATTCAAGTTTTTAGATATTGCACATATCGAGAAAGAAATTAGTTGAAGTAAGTAAATCAAAGGTCTATGAAATGTTTGTCATAATGAAACTGCTCAGATATATTTACTTACAATATGGAAATATATTGTGGCCGCAACTATTTTAATAATTGATGACGTACAGCCAAGAAAGGTATAGCCATGCCAAGGCTTATATAAGCAGTAAAAAGTAGAGTAAATTTATAACGATTATGGATATCGAAGGGCAAATCCTGAAAATATAAAAGTATGTATTAAATCTTAAAATAGTATTTAATGTATGAATTCTAATATACATCTTTAGAATAAAAAACCAAAAAATGCTGTTTTGCTAATAACAGGCCCTTTTAGGATTAGAATATGAACTATTCCTGTTCCAATATATCAATACACATATAAATAAAACAGAAAAGAACTAATTACTAAGATCATCATTGAAAATCATAGAGTAATTATCTAAACTTTTCCATTATTTGATTAACTTTGAGTTGTAATATGAATATAATTATATTAAAATATAAGCTTATTCTTTTTGAAACAAAAAAAAACTTTTTTGTCACTTTCAAAACAACTACTTTGATAAGCAATACTTATAATAGCATTGTTATATAATATGCTTACTTTTCCAGGTTCTCCACCAATATCATCTGCATGTTTCATAATATTACTCTTCATGAATGATCTGCGGGGTACAAAATTGCACAAAATTTTTCTAGTAGCCATTATTTAATGCTGTTTTGATCAATGTCAACTTGATAAATGAAGCGCGCGATCAATCTGATGAATGATCTCCCAAATAATCAGTTATTGGTAATTTGCTCGGTATACTCTGTTATATGAATATATATTGCTGTGGGTCGTGTAAGTGCTGCAGGAATATGAAATGATAATCAGTGAAAATCAATATGTTGCACGATGAGAGCAAAGGTCTTTACACATACAAAGGCGTCGCAAACATCGCAGCGACACGTAGTGGTAAAATTATACACTGCCCCTACGGAAACTTCATCGCCACTCTAATTCTTAAAAACTCTTAAAAACTCTTTAAAAGTTTGAGTAAGTCTTAAAAATTCTTATAAATGTTCGTATTTTGTACCATGATTTTTAAGAGTTAATAAAACTTTATAAGAGTTTTAAATGATATATAAATAAATTTTAAAAATTTATTTGAAACCTGATATTTTGTTTCCGAATTTGGTAAGGAATCGCTTATTTAATTTAAAAAAATTTTTACAAGTGACAATAATTGTTATAAAGAGTTATTAAGTGTTGATAAAAGTTTTCAATATTTTTTAAGACTTTTTGATCGGTATCTACGCTCGTCAAAAATCATGGTGAAAAAACTGTACGAGCAACCATATGAACAATATGAAAAAAAATAAAAAAAATGAAAAAAAAAATTGATATTTTTGCTAAAAAATTGAGTCTCCACAAGGTTCTATGAATTTTTAAAAACTCTTTTTAACTCTTTAAAATCATTGATCAGGTGTACGAAATCCGAACATTTGTAAGACTTTTTGAGACTTTTATAGACTTTATAAAACCTTCTCATGAGAAAAATTTCCGTCGGGGAGCTCGGTGTACTGCAGAAAGAGTTTTTTAGATAGTTTGTTCATTGTGCTTACTGCCATTAAATATCAGGGTGTCTCTTTTTTAAAACCTCACCTACGTTCCTAAGACAGCTACCGTAGCCGAAATCAAAATTAGGTATGGGGTTAAAAATGTGGACAAAAAATTCATTCAAACTCGAGCCAAATCAATAAATTTCCTTTTTTCATTACTTTCCATTGTTCAATTACTAGCCAAGAGTGTAAACTTTAAAAAATATGTTGCATTTTTGATTCCAGATTATCCTGCCCGGAAATATCCTGACTACCGCAGAATTAACAGATTGACCGAGGAAAACTGATAGAAAACCCAAGTAACCCTTTAAAGAAAACTAGTTAAAGAAAACTTAAGGTGGTTTACTGGTCCGAGAGTGCTGGTAAATTAAGAAATTGCTTTTTATTAATCAATGAACACGCTCTGAAGTCTAAATATTTTTTCATGACAAATCGCTCGCTCTCATTATGAGGAACGCTAGACCCAATCTAATTCTGTCCACTGAAACGCCGGAATTCCTATGGTTATACACGTTCCACAACTCTGAGGACCAGACAGGATTAGATTAGGGTCTAGTGAACTAATCAAATCGCGCAAAATACAGTCAATTAGGGACGTTCCTCGTATGAATTGGCCGCGATCAGATGGCGGACAATACAACATGAGAAACAATATTTTCGAAATTTTCAGTTTTTTTTTTGACTTTTTACAAATCCCTTTATCAAGTCAGAATGTTTTTTTTCAAGATTTCTAAGGATTAACTAACGATATTACACAATTAAAAATTTTGAGCCGCCAAATGTTGATTTGAAGGTTAAAAATTATTCTACCTCAATCAACCTTCAATGGGACGGACGCATTAAATTTATACAGGGTGGGGAATAAATATGGAAACCCCTGGAAATTTCGCAGAATAAGTTGGAAAAAAAAATCAAAAACCTCATATCCGACGTATTTTTTCACGGGGAATCCAATGGTGACCTTGAATTTGACCTTGAACATAACCTTCAAGCTCCAGTGACCCAAAAATCGATTTTTCAAATGTAACCCCCATTTTTTATTGCAGATTTGAAAAGAACACAAAATTTCACGTCAAAATGTATGTTTTGTTTTTTTTTTCAAGGTCATTTTAAGGGCTTTACAGACGCAAATAAAACCCCAATTTAACCTAAAATTAAGATCAAGTAAGGGCTTTTTTTCTAATTGTACCGCCTCCTAAATGACCTTGAAAAAAAAACAAAACATACATTTTGTCGTGAAATTTTGTGCTCTTTTCAAATCTGTTATAAAAAATGGGGGTCACCGTGCGAATAATCGATTTTTGGTTCACGGTAGAGTATAGGTTATGTTCAAGGTCAAATTGAAGGTCACCATTGAAAAGAGTGGAAAATTTTACGTGAAAATATGTATTTTGTAATTTTTTTTTAAGGTCATTTTGGAGGCAGTACAATTAGAAAAAAAGCCCTTACTTGATCTTAATTTTAGGTTAAATTGGGGTTTTATTTGCGTCTGTAACGCCCTTAAAATGACCTTGAAAAAAAAAACAAAACATACATTTTGACGTGAAATTTTCCGCTCTTTTCAAATCTGCAATAAAAAATGGGGGTTACATTTGAAAAATCGATTTTTGGGTCGCTGGAGCTTCAAGGTCATGTTCAAGGTCAAATTCAAGGTCACCATTGGATTCCCCGTGAAAAAATACGTCGGATATGAGGTTTTTGATTTTTTCTCCCAACTTATTCTGCGAAATTTCCAGGGGTTTCCATATTTATTCCCCACCCTGTATATGATATACTATTATTACCTGGGTACGTGAGATTTCACGGAATCTGAAAAAAATTTAAAAAAAAAATAAATATAACATATAATAAACTTCAATCCTCTACAGATTTAATAAAATTTGAAATATATTAGTATTGGGAAATAGGAAATAGTTTTTTTCATCATGAGTGATGCTAACTCCCGCATGACTTCCACAATGATGACACATATTTAAGCTTCTCTATTTTTTAAAGTCTTAGAATTTATCAAACACCCTCACATTTTAATAGAATGTTTAGGGTTAATTTTTTAAATAATAAACCTTATCCAATCCTCGAAGGAAGAGTCCCAAACTTTTCATGTTTACCGTAGCCCTTAAGCTTGTTATGCGGCGACCGGCAGAGTCTCTCAATTCACACATGAATCTCATAGTCCTTTGCCCTATAAGTCGTGCAACTGCATGCACTTGAAAGAAGGTTTTGTTGGTATAGGCCATAAAAGTATATCATTTCGAGTGTAGCGTTGTTTTCAACAATTATTTTCCAGTTTTCTTCAGTGTATTGACAATATTTTTTTTTATTTTTAAGTGTGTTTTAAATAGGAAATATTTGATGATGAGGTAAATTGCTATATAAAAATATATTTAACTGTAAAATAAGTTAATTAAAAATCCATGCTACCATCCACGATAGCAAACAGTCAACTTTATAATTTAATTGTACATTAACTATTCATTTTATTAGCCATAAAAAATTATAAGAATTGCTAAAAGATGATAAAATTATCTATTGTTTATAACGTTTTTATGGGTTATTTTCTATTTAAAAATTATTTCACATGTTACTAATTACAAAAAAATGTTTAACAAATGTAAGAAAATGGTTTATTATTATTAAATGCCTTTATTAAAAAAAACACAGAATAATCAAGTCAATTAATGAGTTTTAATTCAAATGCTGAATGTTTATACATTTATATCATGGATAAATGTACACATACATATACATTATTTTTTTTAATTTCTACACATTTTCTGAACAAAATACATTCAATGTTTGTGATATTTAAGACAATTTTTTCCCTATCATGGGGGTTTTTTTGAATAAATAAAAATTATCTTGTGCCTTTTTCCTTCATAAACATCATCAAAAGGCATTATTATAAGCATCTCAATAAGCATCAGAAAGTCACTGAATAGTTTTAAATATGTAAGAAAAAATTATATCACGAATTTCAATTAATAAATGGTTTTGTTTGGATTTCACTTTTTTATCAAATAAATGTGAATTATTTATCAATTGTTCTCATGATTCTAATTAGCATTTTGATTGATCAAAGAAGCGTGGTAAAAAAATTCAATAATGAAAATTTTTTTACAAGGGTGCTAAACTGCAGTATTATCATATCATGAAAAATTTTTTCATGTACCATGAAAAGTAATGTTAAATTTATTTTCTAAATGAACATTTAAAACCTCCGTATTCATGCATGCTCAAAGTTAATCATTTTATACCTATATTAACAGTATAATTAGTAATTTATTCATTTTTTGCTTCCTAATATAGAGGAAGCTGCTCTGTGATAAGCTCGAACATGAGATTTTGAACGAGGCATCGTAACATAAATACGTACATATATTTGTAAACTTGATTGAATTCCCAACAAATGTCCGTACTTGTAAGCGAGTGTATTTTTTTATATTAGTAAGTATATTTTAATAATTCAATAATGCTCTTGGACCTTATTGATAAAAAAGTAGCTGTATTTCCACTGGGAAATTCTCCTGGAATCACCCTGGAAATTCACGTGGTTTGAATTAGATTATACATGGATTTATCTGGAGATCCACGTGGATTTCCAATCGATTTCCACTTGGAAATCTAACAATTTTTTAAACTAGATCTTTTTGATGAGAAATCCTTGGGCAAATTTTTTTAGACATAATAATATTTAAAAACTGTAATAAAGTATTGGGAAGTAATCTGAGAGTTGGTGGAGGTAAAAATGGTACTAGAGCGGAATAACACGTGAAGTATATCGAGTGTCGACTGCAGCGCCAAACGTGCGGTAGTGGTGTCATGAATTGGCAGTGGTCCAGAAATCAGCGTTGTAAAAAACTTTCCGGAACATGGCTGCCGCTATATCGTCTGCCGTCACTGTTTTATCATCTGACCCGATGTTGCCAACTCAAACGTAGGCGGCAGAACTCAAATGGTATATTATGATACGTGTGACTTAAGCAGGCCATTATTGCACGGCCCGGTTAGCACCCGAGCGAAGCGAGCTTTTTTATAGCACTGTGCTAAATTCACGTTTAGGCCCCCTTTGGCGAGATATAAGGTGCTCATAACAGCGTCGCCGTGCAATAATGAACATATATCATATGCCCTGTCAAGAGCTGCCAGAGCATTTTTATCACCAACATATCAATATTTGATAGCAGTAAAACGTATATTTCCAATATATTGTTATGGTACGGATAACAATTACGAGAAAAGTCTCGTTATGATAGTGATATTTCGGTGTACTGCGTCGGTGCGATGACGTTGAATCGTGAATCCGACGTACAGTGGAAGTTTCTGAGATGTGACTTGATGAAGTTGTGACTGGTGTAGGCGAACGGGAGTCAGCTGGGGTGATCTCGTTCGTGCCTTTGAAGGTCTGAGAGTTTGACCGTCTGGTATAGAAGTTGCTTTCGATCGCTACCTTCTGTAGATCGTTCCTTAGCCGTCTGTTTGAAAAGTAAGCAATGAACTTACTTTTCAGGTAGAGAGGCTAACCCGTTTCTCAATCAATGAAAATCAGGATTTGAGTTCAACCCGGAACATGCCGGAGCTTTATTTCAATTCAGATAATAACCCTTATAAAAATTTCCTATAGGATCTCGCGAAATTCCTACAGGAGTCCTATAGGATTCCAATAGGAATTCTATAGGAATTTCGGAATAGGAATTTCGCGGGATCCTATTGGAAATTTTTATAAGGGAAGCATTTTCGGCCACGGTTCATTTGTGGGTTACAAGCTCTTTGCAAGTCCGCCACCTAGCGGTTTGTTTACATATTATATAAATAAACAAAAAGAGTGCGCTGCTGTTATAACTATCGCGTTTATCTAAGATATGTCTGGGTAAACTTGGACCAGGGAGGCGAAGACACCCTGTAGTAGGTTAATCAGAAGGAGTTCACGGGTTAAGTGAGGTAGAGCGAGGTGATTAGATTGAATATATTTATTGTGTCGGCACGAAGGCCAGAGTGACTGCTGTGTGCGCTGCTCGCCGGGCAGGTTAAGACTGGCAACTTCTCTACACGCAGCTGCTGACTGATCTGCGACCATACAGCAGCGCTCCCGCATCGCAGCGGCCAAGCGGCAACTACTTCTACTGTGCACGCCACACTACTCTCCCCTTGAAAAAAGTTTTTTAATTCTTGGCATGGGGTTTTTTTAAACATTATTAATTATTTCGAGCAGTCTTAACTTGACCTTTGACAGTATATACAAAGTAGTTTTTTACATATTTATTACAATGAACAAACAAAATGTTTAAATTATATTGATTCTTATAGTGCTCTCAATGAGCTGATTAGAATAAACATTGCTACCAGAAAATAAGTTTTAAATTTTACATCACAGCGCTTACATTTGGCACTTTATAATACATCATTAATTGTTAATTAACGACTAGGTACTTCTGGAGCTCACTCATACATATTGTATAAATAATAACATCTTATTTTTTAAATTCATATCACATTCAGGCACTTAATTTGTAACTATGCTACATATCCCAGTTGAAAAAAATTGCATGGATATCCACGTGGAATATCCACGCTGATTCCACGTGGATCATACAGGGATTCCTTGAGGATGGGACATTGATTCCACGTGGATCGAACATGGATCATATAAAGAGTCCACGTACGTAAACCACGGGGATTTGCACGGAAATCCTCGTTGATTTTCGATCGATCCACGGGGATTTTCGCGCAAATCCTCGTTGATTTTCGATCGATCCACGGGGGTTTTCGCGCAAATCCTCGTTGATTTTCGATCGATCCACGAGGATTGAAAAAAAATCAGCGTGGATCAGTCGAAAATCCGTGGTGATTCGCCGCAAATCCTCGCGGATGTTTCGAGCGCGTGTTCGCGAACAAGTTCCACATCCACGAGGATTGAAAAAAAATCAGCATGGATCGGTTGAAAATCCGTGGTGATTCGCCGCAAATCCTCGCGGATGTTTCGAGCGCGTGCTAGCGAACAAGTTCCACATCCACGAGGATTAAAAAAAAATCAGCGTGGATCAGTCGAATATCCGTGGTGATTGCATTTTTTTCAGCCCATGATCGATCCACGAGGAATCCCTGTATGATCCACGTGGAATCCCTGTACGATCCACGTGGAATCCCTGTATGGTCCACGAGGATTACTAATCCTCGTGGATTTCCACGTGGATATCCATGCAATTTTTTTCAACTGGGATCGCTTTTAAGTACTCAATTAGTGAACATACTATGAGTCATAAGACTCAAAACTTGAATTATAATTGTTAAGTAAATTACATGACTCCTTTTCCAATATTGTTCAGTTATTTTTAAACTGTAATATTTTGTACATCAGAGATTATTTTTCTTTAATTTTTAAACAATTACTCTTTGTACTTATATTTTAATTATTTGATTAAATGTGATTATTTTATCACATGTGCTTATTTAAGCAGAGTTGACTCATTTAAATGTATTTTAACAAATGATATTTTTCTGTGATGGAATTACATCACTACATTTAGCTCACAGCTTGATTTTTTAGTTTGACTTAGTTTTTATGATTTTTGATTTTTATACCAATAATATATGACAATAATATAAGTTATTCAGAATATAAACATTACATTACTTATTAAACAGGTGACAGAGTATCTGGCGCAGTTTAGCTAGATCTTACAAGTAAAAGAAAAGAAACAAAGATTAAAGTACATAAATTGTACTTCTGATTAATCAATTATTACACACGTCGGGCAAATGCATGTGGAAACCATGCCACCAGTTTTTCGCTACAATCTTGTTATTCTTTTTCGCATTATATAACCATAGTGGAATTTTATCCAAATAAAAGTCTTTGATTATTACATGCACTCCGGCAGCTACCGCAGGCATGACTTTTTCAATCCCGGTACATACATGATGTCGATCAGTCACTATAATGAGTTTTTTTAACGATGAGAGAGGCAATCTTTTTAAAATTTCAACAATATCCATTGACCAACTGATGGTTATTCTTTTTAATTTTTCTAAATGCTTAAACGAAACCAGGCCATTAATTTTAATATTGGTTAAGATTAACTCTCTCACGTTCGGAATACAATTTATTAGTATATGCAGATTATTATTGAAAAACAGTGCATTCGTCAGATCCACATACATAATGTCTGGACAAAAGCTAAAAGACAACATAAGGTCCGGTGAAGATTCTAGATAAAATTGTGGTTTGGCGAAAGTAAAAGTTATGTAACGCAACGAATTCAAACCCGAAAACAAACTGGCGACAAGTCTCGATAAACTTAAATCAAAATCCATCGCCATACACTCATGAATGGTAATGATTTCACAGTATTGGTTAATCGAT